TCCTTCCTTCCTTCCTTCCTTCCTTCCTTCCTTCCTTCCTTCCTTCCTTCCTTCCTTCCTTCCTTCCTTCCTTCTCCCCTCCCTCTTCGTTTCAAATAAAATAAAATAAATAAAATAAAACATAAAATAATAAAATAAAATAAAACACACCGCTTGCTTTGGGGGTCCTGCTCCCCAAAGAGGAAGACGATAAGCCTCCCGAAGCAGGGCCAAATCCTGGATTCCCCCAAAACTTGCAGCTGTGGCTAATTAGCCCCCTTGGCCCGTCCCAAAGTGGGGTGTGTTTGTGTGTGTGTGTGTAGAATTGCACTCAAAGGGAGAAGCGCCTTTCCCCTTCCTTGTGCGGCTCACAACTTCCAGGATTGACGGGGAGGCGTTTCTGTCTGCGTGGAGAAGCGGGACATCAAAAGAAGGGGAAAAAAGAGAATATTTCTGCAAAGGGGGAGAAAATAAAGGGAGCTTTGTACTTCCCGCTGGAACCGTCTGGCACAGGAAGGGGATGTAGCTCAGTGGTAGAGCGCATGCTTTGCATGTATGAGGCCCCGGGTTCAATCCCCGGCATCTCCAGGTTTTTTTTCTCCCCCCGCATCCCATTCAATGTTTGCAAATGCAAATCGTAGAATCCCAGGGCTGGAAGGAACCCTGGAGGTCGTCTAGTCCAACCCCTTTGCCCATGCACCATGCAAGACAAATGGATGTCTGCTATTCAGCTAAGGTATAGAACATAATCACGTATATAGAATATATGTGGGTATATGCAATTGTTTTGGTCATATTTATGTAGTTTATGTGGTTACCCTTTTGAGAGCTGAATGCAATGAAATTTCATTTTAATGTATGCCGATTCGTGTGCATTTAAAATGACAAAGTATTCTATTCTATTCCATATTTTCTATTCTATTCTATTCCATTCTATTTCCCATATTCTATTCTATTCTATTTCCCATATTCTATTCTATTCCATATTTTCTATTCTATTCTATTTCCCATATTCTATTCTATTCCATATTTTCTATTCTATTCTATACTATTCCCCATATTCTATTCTATATTTTCTATTCTATTCTCCATATTCTATTCTATACTATTCCCCATATTCGATTCTATTCTATTCTATATTTTCTATTCTATTCTACATATTTTTTTCTTTTCTATTCTATTCCATTCTATTTCCCATATTCTATTCTATTCTATTTCCCATATTCTATTCCATATTTTCTATTCTATTCTATTCTATAATTCTATTCCCCATATTCTATTCTATTCCATATTTTCTATTCTATTCTCCATACTCTATTCTATTCCATATTTTCTATTCTATTCTCCATACTCTATTCTATTCCATATTTTCTATTCTATTCCCCATATTCTATTCTATTCCATATTTTCTATTCTATTCTATTCCATATTTTCTTTTTTCTTTTCTATTCTATTCTATTCCATTCCAGCTTCTTTTGCATCCCAGCATAGGTAGTTCTCAACTTAGCATTAATTTAGTGACTGCTCAGGTTACTACAGCACTGAAAAAAGTGACTTATGACTGGTTCTCGCACTTACAACCGTTGCAGCATCCCCACATTCCTGGGATCAAAATCTGGGCACTTGGCAACTGGCATGTATTTACGATGCTGCAGAATCCTGGGGTCAAGGGATCACCATCTGCAACCTTCCCAGCAGCTGTGTGAATGGGGGCGCGGGGGGGGGGGAAGCTCGACTCGCTTAACATGATTTAGTTAACAACCGCAGTCATCCGCTAAACAACGGTGGCAAAAAAGTTGTAAAATGAGGCATGACTCACTTAATATTAGCACTGCTTAGTAACAAGAGATTCTGGCATTTACGATGGTTGCAGAATCCCGGGGTCTTGGGATTGCCAGTTCCGACTTTCCCAGTTGACATTCCGACCAGGAATGTCAGTAAATGAATATATAACACCGTATCGGCCATGGACTGGCTAAACCAGTGGACTGGAAGAAAAACAATTTATTTCAGAAAACCCTTTGGATAATAACCCAATACAAACACGGAAATGCTCCAGTCGTTTTTCAAAATAATTATTATAGGGGATTTTTAAGGCCAGAGGTGTTGAAAAATTTAGGAGATTTGCCCCCCCCCCAAGGCCACTGTCTTCTTATATTTGAAAATTCATTTTTTTTTGCAAGGGGCACCGGATACCACCCAAATCCACTCTACTACGTTCTTTCCAACTGGACGATCAAATTCAAAAACCCAAGAGTTGTTGCGTGGACATTTTCACAACTGCAATTGGGGCAGAATGCAATCATCTCTGCAAAAGAAAAAAATCTGCTGGTTGCGCCAGCCACAGGCATTTCAAATTAAAACACGCCGATGTCTAAACAAAGGAAAATAAACAAGCCAACTCGGACGGCAACTGTTCATTCAGCTGTTATATTTACAAATTGCTGTGATCGTGAACCGAAAATGCCACGATTCGCATCCGAAGGCTTTAAAGGCAAAGAAACAGGTGCAAAGAGACTCAAAACTTTTTTTTTTCCTTTCAAGTAGCGGCATATTAAGAGTATTCCATTTCTTGACATTCATTTCTACAAAACCTGAAAGAGCTGCAGGTAGTTTTGGTCACCATACTACAAAAAAGATGTTGAGACCTTGGAAAAAGTTCAGAGAAGAGCAACTAAGATGATCCAAGGCCTGGAGACCAAAACATACGAAGAACGGCTGCAGGACTTGGGTTTGGCTAGTCTAAAGAAAAGAAGAAATAGGGGAGACATGATAGGAATATTCCAGTATTTGAGAGGTTGGCCACAAAGAAGAGGCCCTAGAAGGTAGGACAAGAAACAATGGATGGAAACTAGTCAAGGAGAGAAGCAACCTGGAATTAAGGAGAAACTTCCTAACAGCGAGGACAATTAACCAGTGGAACAGCTTGCCTCCAGAAATCATGGGTGCTCCAACAATGGAGGTTTTTAAGAGACTGGATTGGATAGTCTGAAAGGGCATAGGTTCTCCTGCTCGAACGGGGGGCTGGACTAGAAGACCCCCAAGGTCCCTTTCAGTTCTATTCTATTCTATTCTATTCTATTCTATTCTATTCTATTCTATTCTATTCTATTCTATTCTATCATTATTCTATTCTAATTCCATATTCTATTCTATTTTTTCCTATCCCCTATCCTATCCTATCGTATTCTTTTTCCTATTCCTTATTCTATTCTATTCTTTTTCCTATTCTATTCTATTCTATTCTATTCTATTCTATTCTATTCTATTCTATTCATGTGGTTGAAACGTGTGAAGGGCATGTATGCTCTACTCTGCTAAATCTTTATGTTTGTGGCTCAGGGTGTTTGTGTGAACCAACCTACTGGGATGTATATCTAAGCATAGTTTCTGGGTTTGCGGGTGAAAACGTTAATGACTGTGGCTTAGCCAGAAAAAAACAGGATTAAAGTAAACGCTGCTTAATGGAATGTGAGATTCTTGCAACTATAGTCCAGGGTTTTTCAAACTTTGCCAGCTGGGGAATTCTGGGAATTGAAGTCTAAACCTCTTAAAATAGCTCAGGTTGAGAAATATTGGATTAGTTCCAGCAACCATAGAGTCTGTTCTCAAGAAAAGCCAGACCCTGGGGAATTCTGGGAATTGAAGTCCAAATCTTTAAAGTTGCCACGGTTGAGAAATACTGGATTAGTTTCGGCAACCATAGAATCTATTCTCAAGGGAAGCCAGACCCTGGGGGATTCTGGGAGTTGAAGTCCACCCTCCTTAAAGTTGCCAAGGTTGAGAAACATTTCATTTCTTTTGTACAAAAGGATCTGACATTTTCTTGTTCACTGGACTGCCTTCAGCCCAACCCAAAATGAACAACTGCAGGATTATGATTTTTTTTGCAGGTCAGAAACGTCACATATGTTGCTACTCAGCGGGTCACGTGTTGGTTGCTCTTTGGGATGACAAACATAGAAAGGCTGAATTTGTCTCCTCGTTCTTTGTGCAGTTACGGCTCTGGCTTCTTCCCAGGAGAGTCTTCATGGCATTTTTGGAAAGAACACAAGCTTTGAGAGTTCCTGGCTCAAACATTCACTGCCTCAATGCACCGGAGGCCAAATTTTAGCAATTTCCTCGTGGGTCGCTTTCGGAACCCACTGGCAATATTCAGCCAGCAAATCTGAAACGAGAAGATTAAAATTGGAGAAGGGAGCGACCCGTCAGTCTGCTGTGATGGAACATTTAAATTTAAATTGAATTTAGCTGGCGATCGTGATTCCAACTACCGCAGGTTATCAAACCTTACAAAAAAGTCTTTCGTGGCAGAATAAGCAAAATAAAAACAATCTAAAAAAAAATTAAAATCTTGGATAGCTTACATTTGGGGTTTTTCTCCCAGGCCAGCTGTAAAGCGTCCCGGTTATCAATGTTTTCAGAAACGAGCGCTTGAAGCAAAGATTCTGTTCTTGGCTGAAGTCTGCAGAAATATCACACACACACACACACACAAAATGAATACAGAGGGGTGAATAAAATCAATTTTCAATCAAATTAATCAATCACCGACAGGGGAGCAAATGGTCCCAAGCCTGGCTCTCTGGTATGGGGGTGCCAGGAAGACAGTCCTTCTCTTTCTTAAATGGATTATTAGAAATTTTCCCTTTCCCATTTCTGAATTTCGGCTAAAATGTCTGGTTTTTAATTGTGGGTAAAGCTGGAGGTGGGAGTGGGTTGGTGTTTTCACTAAGGATTCTCATGTTTTTCTCCCACCTGGCTGGCTGGAGGGGTGCAACTCATCCTTGGTTGAGCCCCTGGACAGCCTGTGCCAGGTGGCAGAAGGCTTCATGACTTGGTTCCCACCCAGCTGCTCGCAATTGCTGGTGCCAGGGAAGCAGTGTTGAGGTGTGAGATCTATCAGGGTGGGCCTGAGGACTCATGGATGGCACTTCGAGAGAGAGAGAGAGCGAAAGAGAGATTGAGAGAGAGAGAGAGACTGAGAAAGAGAAAGATTGAGAGAGAAAGAGAGAAGAAAGAGAGGTTGAGAGAGAAAAATTGAGAGACGGAGAGAAAGAGGAAGACAGAGAGATTGAGAGAGGTTGAGAGAGAGTGAAAGAGAGACAGAGAAAGAGAGATTGAGAGAGAGAGAGACTGAGAAAGATTGAGAGAGAAAGAGAGAAGAAGACAGAGAGGTTGAGAGAAAAATTGAGAGACAGAGAGATTGAGAGTGAAAGAGAGAGAGAAAGAGAGATTGAGGGAGAGAAACAGAGACTGAGAAAGATTGAGAGAGAAAGAGAGATGAAGGCAGAGAGGCTGAGAGAGAAAAATTGAGAGATGGAGAGACAGAAAGAGGAAGACAGAGAGATTGAGAGAGATTGAGAGAGAGTGAAAGAGAGACAGAGAAAGAGAGATTGAGAGAGAGAAAGACTGAGAAAGATTGAGAGAGAAAGAGAAGAAGACAGAGAGGTTGAGAGAAAAATTGAGAGACAGAGAGATTGAGAGAGAGGTTGAGAGTGAAAGAGAGAGAGAAAAAGATTGAGGGAGAGAAACAGAGACTGAGAAAGATTGAGAGAGAAAGAGAGATGAAGGCAGAGAGGTTGAGAGAGAAAAAATTGACAGAGAGAGAGAGAGAAAGAGGAAGAATGACAGAGATTGAGAGAGAAAGAGAGAGGTTGAGAGAGAGTGAAAGAGAGGGACAGAGAAAGAGACTGAGAGATACAAAGACTGAGAAAGATTGAGAGAAAGAAGGAGGAATTGCTTCCTGGAGTTGTGGGTGCTCCATCACTGGAGCTTTTCAAAAATAGACTGGACAACCACTTGACCGGGATGATATAAGGTCTCCTGCTTGACCTGTGATTCTATGTTTTAAGACAGGGGTAGTCAACCTTGGCTCTTGTTAGCTAAGCTGGCTCAGGAATTCTGGGAATTGAAGTCCACGAGTCATAAAAGAGCCAAGGTTGACTACCCCTGTTTTAAGAGAATCTTCTTAAGGATAGAGAACAAGGCCAAAAGGGTTCACTTGGGGATAAGACAGATATGACTTTTTTGGGGGGGAATCCCTAATTCTACCACCCTCTCATATACAATGAGAGGAAGGACCGTCAGCAACCTACTTGGACCATGTCTTTAGCATCGTGACCGGACTGGACAGCAGGCAACGGCTGTAGGCCGCCAACGGTTTCACAACCTAGAAAAAAAAATTAATCTAATGATTAATCTACTCGTTTGTGAGCTCGGACACCCCAAACAGCTTTTTCAATCCCTCATCGCCAACTTTTTAACGTTTAATTCGTATACAAGTCAAAACAGAGTCCAAAAAAGAAAAAGAAAAAGGAAAATTGTATTTTTTTTAAAAATCCAAGGGTAGGGAATTAGTGGCCTTCTAGTTGTTCCAGGACTACATCTCCCATTTGCAGCTAACATGGCCGCCTCGGGGTGGAGACCACAGTATTTGCAGTTGAAAAAACTGGACAGCCATTTGTCCGAAATGGTATAAGTTTTCCTGCCTGAGCAGGGGGTTGGACTAGATGACCTCCAAGGTCCCTTCCAACATCATCATCATCATCATCATCATCATCATCATCATTATTATTATTATTATTATTATTATTATTATTATTATTATTACTAGCAAGCATGAGGTTGGTGAAACGCTTAAGAATTCAGAGAAAGTCTGAATTCAGCAGCAGATCACGGCAGAGGCCGAAATACAGACAGGCCTCATTTTATGACCCTTTGTTTAGCAACCCTTCAAAGTTACGGCGGTGCTGAAAACTGTGGCTTACGACCAATCCTTACTCTGATGACGGCGTTTATGAAAAGTTGGGGCGTCCTGGGCTCGCAGGATTCCCATGTGAGATCTTCCCAGTTATCTTCCACTAGCAAAATCAGCGGGGAAAGCTTGATTCGCTTAATGACCACAGCAGAAAGGTCATAAAACTGGATGCCCCACCTCCCTCCCCTATCATATTATGACTCAATTCAAGCTTGCATCACTTAGTGACGTAGGTTCCGGACCCAAATGTTGTTATCAGTTGAGAATTAACTATGGAGCAAGGGTCCCCAACCTGTGGGTCGTGCCCCACTGCCAGGCCACGGCGTGTTGGCTACCGGGCTGCGTAAGTGGCTGGCCAATGCGGACGTGTGTGTGCGTGCACTCACCTCCGCCAGTCGCACAAGCACCACCCTGGCTTTCGTGCAGGCGCTAGCAGCCCTATTTGTATCGTGCGGGCGCTAGCCGTCCCGAGTGTTGTGTGGGCACTAGTGGCCCAGTTTGTGGCGTTTGGACGCTAATGGCTTCGTTTGTATCGTGCAGGCACGAGCCGTCCTGAGCGTTGCATGGGCTTAACGGCCCCATTGGTGGCATGCGTGAGCTTTCGGCCCTGTTTGCAATGCTCACATGCTTCCAGCTCTGTTTGCGCACGCGTGTGTAAGGGTGCCTGCCTTTCCCTTCAGACCACTAACCCAGAAAGGCTGGAGGCCTCACCTGTCCTTCCAGGAAAAACCTGGCAAAATATTTGAAGCGATCGAGGCCTTCGGGATAATCCACCTCCACTGCAGGAAGCTGCCAACCGACCCGATCTATAGAAAGAGAAGGGAACAGAGTGGGATATATATCCTGTTATTTAATTTGATTTTACAACAGAAACTTGTGTATATTTATCATGGTTTTATTATCACCTGTTCACTGCCCTGAGTCCCGTAAGGGAGATAGGGCGGTATATAAATTATAATAATAATAATAATAATAATAATAATAATAATAATAATAATAATAATAATAATAATAACAACAACAACAACAACAACAACAACAATAATAATAATAGTAATAATAATATTGCCGGCGTGAACTATATTCTGCCCTCAACCACGGTTGATTTCAGCCGTTCCTCGTCCACCAAGGCGCAAGAGGACCGTCTGACTGGGAGAATTTGCAGCCTTAGGGGCGCCATCTCTTGTAGCAAGATGGCACAAAAAAAGAAAATGGAGCCAACGAGGATTCCAACAGAAGAGACTCTTTATAGCTCAGGGTTGAACTGTGGGGTCCTTGGCGCTCTCTGAGCTTGGTGGTTTTTGTTGCAGACGTTTCATGACCCAGCTAGGTAACATCATCAGTGCTACAAGGGAGTGGGGTTTACAGAGTGGAGGAGGCGGTGGGATCCTTGATGTTCTCTGAGCTTGGTTGGTTTTCCTGCAGAGATTTCATGACTCGATGACCCAGCTAGGTAATAGTATCAATGCACTGGTGATGCTACCTAGCTGGGTAATGAAATGTCTCCAAGGAAAGCAACAAGTTCAGAGAGCACCGAGGACCCCACGGTCCTCTTCCTCCTCCACCCATTACCTTCTAGCACTGATAATGTTACCTAGTTGGGTAACGAAATGTCTGCAAGGAAACCACCGAGTTCAGAGTGCACCAAGGACCCCACCCACCCAGAGCTACAAATATTCTCTCCTATCGGTACATAACAACAACAACAACAACAATAATAATAATAAAGTTGGAAGGGACCTTGGAGGTCATCTAGTCCAACCCCCTGCTCAGGCAGGAAACCCTATACCATTTCGGACAAAGGGCTGTCCAGTCTCTTCTTAAAAACTTCCAGTGTTGGAGCATTCACAGCTTCTGGAGGCAGGTTGTTCCACTGTTTAATTGTTCTCACTGTCAGGAAGTTTCTCCTTAGTTCTAGGTTGCTTCTCTCCTTGATGAGTTTCCACCCGTTGCTTCTTGTCCTGCCTTCAGGCGCCTTGGAGAATAGCTTGACTCCCTCTTCTTTGGGGCAGCCCCTGAGATATTGGAACACTGCTGTCATGCCCCCCCTTGTCCTTCTCTTCATTAAACTAGACGTTCCCAATTCCAGCAACCGTTCCTTATATGTTTTAGCCTCCGGTCCCCTAATCATCTTTGTTGCTCTTCTCTGCACTCTTTCTTTGAGACTAGTCAGCAGGACAAGCTTTATAACTAGCAACAACAACTGCAGGAATATAGCAAGAAGTTGTAGGGTCCCACAAATGAACATGATAGCAGTGTTCCAGTATCTGAGGGGCAGGACAAAAACGACGGTTGGAAACAACCTGGAATTAAGGAGAAACTTCCTGACAGTGAGGACAATCAACCAGTGCAACAGCTTGCTTCTAGAAGTCGTGGGCACTCTATCACTGGAGGTTTTTAAGAAGAGGCTAGACAGTCACTTGTCTGAGATGGTATAGATCTCCTGCTTCAGCAGAGGGCTGGACTAGAAGACCTCCAAGGTCCCTTCCAGCTTCTATTCTATTCTAAATTGGGCCCTACCACTTCTTGCTATATTATTGTGCTTGTTGATTTGCCAACAGGCAATGGAATCACAATCCAGCTCCTATTTCTTTTTTTTAATATATAAAAGTTTTTATTGAGTTTTATAAGGTTGGGGAAGGGATAGGACCAGGATAGGGATTAAGGTTCGGGGTGGGGTTAGGATCGGGATTGGGACAGGATTGGGAACAACATTGGGGTTGCCCCCCAGTAACATTTTCAAGCTTTAGCAAACAGACGATTGTCTGGGTACATAATGTTCAGTTAACCCTAATTAATGCAATAGTAAATAGCTGTAGTGAATATGATAAACGATAATCATAGACAATATCAGTTGGTCAATACATAGCATTCTTCTTACTAATATATATTCAAAATAAACTGATCAAGGAGAGAAGCAACCTAGAACTAAGGAGAAACTTCCTGACAGTGAGAACAATTAACCAGTGGAACAACCTGCCTCCAGAAGTGGTGAATGCTCCAACACTGGAAGTTTTTAAGAAGAAACTGGTCAGCCATTTGTCCGAAATGGTATAGGGTTTCCTGCCTGAGCAGGGGTTGGACTAGATGACCTCCAAGGTCCCTTCCAACTCTGTTATTCTGTTATCTCCCACATGATAACAGTGTTCCAATATCTCAGGGGCTGCCCCAAAGAAGAGGGAGTCAAGCTATTCCCCAAAGCGCCTGAAGGCACGACAAGAAGCAACGGGTGGAAACTAAACAAGGAGAGAAGCAACCTAGAACTAAGGAGCAATTCCCTGACAGTGAGAACAATGAACCAGTGGAACTACCTGCCTCCAGAAGCGGTGAATGCTCCAACACTGGAAGTTTTTAAGAAGAGACTGGACAGCCATTTGTCCGAAATGGTGTAGGGTTTCCTGCCTGAGCAGGGGGTTGGACTCGATGACCTCCAAGGTCCCTTCCAATTTTATTATTATTGTTACATTCATTTCTCACCAGTTTGTTTTCCTAACCACTGGTAAAATGTATCCCATGTTTTAAAATAAACTGAATCTTCTTTCTCTCAGCTGCTATTTCTTTGGTTGCAGACTTTTTAAGGACCGGGAAGATTTATTTCACGGAGAAAGCAAACTTACAGAAGGTGCTGGGCCTGTGGCAACGGACGTGGCCTGTTTCTGGGCAGTAGAACGGGGCAGGGTCATCCAGAGGCTTTTCGAAATGGCAGTAGGGGGGCAGGAGAAGAGGCACCCACTCTGGTTCGATGGCTGAAATCCCTTCAGATGGGACACCACCCAGGAAATAAAATTGGGAGAAAACAGGAGTTTAGCTCGGCTAAAAAGCGATATAACACAACTTACAATTTCATCAGCAAATGTACAGGAAATCCTTGACTTACAACAGCTTGTTCCGTGACCGTTCAACCTTACAACGGCGTTGAAAAAAAAAGGGCTGTTTTTCACACTTACGACCGTCGCAGTATCCCAGGCTCTTGCGACCAAACTTTCAGCCGTTTGGCCACGGATTCCTATTTATGACGGTCACGCGATCCTGTTTTGTGACCTTCTGACAAGCCAAGCCGACGGGGGAGCCCGATTCCCTTAACCCCACCGTGTCATTAATTGAACGACGGCAGGGGTCCACTTAACAACCGCGGCAAGGGAGGCCGTAAAATGGGGCAACAAAAAAAAAATCACTGAACAAATGCCTCGCTGAACAACATAGATTTTCAGGTGAATTGTGGTCTATCTGTATTTGCATGTTATCTTCTTATTCTTTTGAGGGGTCTTTTTTCTCTCCCCGGTTCTAGATTCTTTTCTTTAAAATATTTTTAAATATTTTTTTAAAAAAACAGCCAGGAAACAGCTGCTCCATTCACCTTTCATGTACATCTTGGTGCTCTCGACGATTTCCTGGTACACCACAAACTCGGGGAGCTCCTTAAACAGAACGGAAGTAGGGTGGATGAAGACCGGATCCTCCAGGAGTGGCGTCTAGTAGGGGGAAAAAAAAGGGTGGAGGGCAGAATATCCGGGTAAGCCGCCTGGAGTCGCCGTGTGCGAGTAGGCGGCAATATAAAATTTCTAAATAAATACATAAAAAGTAAAGAAAATAGAAAAAAGAAGGAATAAAATCTCCATCTAGTACAAATGTACAGCAAACCTCATCTATGCAGCTAAAAGTCCTCCGTAAAGGATTTGGGACATTTTACAACAATATTGTGTTGTAAATCACACTATATTAATTTACGATAGTTATTAGTCAACCAGCAGCTATTAAGAATAACATACAAGGCACAGCTTCCTTCCTTCCTTCCTTTCCTGCCGCACCTATTCTCTCTCTTTTCCTTCATTCCTTTTCTTTCCCCTCTATTCTCACCTTCCTTCCTTCCTTCCTTTCCCTATTCTTTTCCTTCCTTCCTTTTCTCTCCCCATTCTCACCTTCCTTCCCTCCCTCCCCTATTCTCTTTTCCTTCCTTCCTTTTCTCTTCCCCCTATTCTCACCTTCCTTCCCTCCCTCCCCTATTCTCTCTCCTTTCCTTCCCTTCCTTCCTCCCCCCTCCTCTCTCTTCACAATCTTTTTTCTCATTTTTAATTTCTCTTAATTTGCTTTCTTTACGTTTAACAATGTCTTCAATTACATCTGTGCGTCTTTCAACATTCCAATTTTGTACATAAAATTTATTAAATGAATGAACTCCAGAAAGATCAAAGGGCTGGCACTAAAGATGAGCCAGAGAGAGAGCCAGAGAGGGAGGGACAGAGAGAGAGAAAGAGGGAGGGAGAGGGACAGAGAGAGCGACACACAGAGAGGGACAGAGAGAGAGAGAGAGAAAGAGACAGACAGAGAGGGACAGAGAAAGAAAGAAAAGTAGGGAGAGGAGAGAGAGAGGGGGGGGACAGAAAGAGAGAGAGGGAGGGAGACAGAGACAGAAAGAGAGGGAGGGAGGGAGGGACAGAGAGAAAGAGAGGGACAGAGAGAAAGAGAAAGAGGGAGACAGAGACAGAGAGAAAGAGAGGGAGAGAGAGACAGAGAGAAAGAGAGGGACAGAGAGAGAGGGAGGGAGACAGAGAGAGAGAGACAGAGAGAGAGAGACAGAGACAGAGAGAAAGAGAGGGACAGAGAGAGGGAGGGAGAGAAAGAGAGGGAGGGAGACAGAGAGAAGGGGGAGGGAGGGAGAGAGAGAGAGAGAGAAAGAGAAAGAGGGAGACAGAGACAGAGAGAAAGAGAGGGAGAGAGAGACAGAGAGAAAGAGAGGGACAGAGAGAGGGAGGGAGGGAGAGAAAGAGAGGGAGGGAGAGAGAGAGAAGGGGGAGGGAGGGAGAGAGAGAGAGAGAGAGAGAGAGAGAGAGAGAGAGAGAGAGAGAGAGAGAGAGAGAGAGAGAGAGAGAGAGACCTTGTAGCTGTTTTTCCACTTCTCGTCAAGGAGCTCGTGAGCCTGGATCCTTCGAGCGACATGGTCCCCTAGTCCAGCCAGGACGATCTGCCTCAAGAAAGTGACCTGTTCTTCTGTGGGGGGCTTCATTTGGGGGTCAACAAAGAGGTCGGCCCCTGGGCAGACGGCATTCACTTGGAAGGGAACACAAACACAATGAGCTTGTGAGAGAGTCAAAACCAAGATGAAGGTGCCCCCTCCCCTTGAATGACGGTCCCAAGACAAGGAAGAGCAGATCCCAGAGAACAGAGCAGGTGTGGCGTCTTACCTGTCTTTGTGAGCTGCCCGCGCAACCGCCGGATTTCCACCATGGCCTTGTAGCGTAGGCCGTTGGTGCTACAGAACTGAGGACTGCATCCTGCATATTCACAAGCACCCACCGCTCCTGGAAGAACAGAACAACAGAGTTGGAAGGGGCTGTGGAGGTCTGCTAGTCCAATCCCGTGCTCAAGCAGGAGACCATTTCAAACACGTGGTTGTCCAATCTCTTCTTAAAAACCTCCAGCGATGGAGCACCAACAACTTCTGGAGGAAAGCCTATCCCATTTCAGACAAATGGCTGTGCAGTCTCTTCTTTAAAACTTCCTGTGTTGGAACATTCACAACTTCTGGAGGCAGGTTGTTCCACTGGTTAATTCTTCTAACTGTCAGGAAGTTTCTCCTTAGTTCTAGGTTGCTTCTTGTCCTGCCTTCAGGGGCCTTGGAGAATAGCTTGACCCCCCTCTTCTTTGGGGCAGCCCCTGAGATATTGGAAGACTCCTATCATATCATCCCTCGTCCTTCTTTTTTTTTTATTAAACTAGACATACCCAATTCCAGCAACCGTTCCTTATATGTTTTAGCCTCCAGTCCCCTAATCATCTTTGTTGCTCTTCTCTGCACTCTTTCTAGAGTCTCAACATCTTTTTTATATTGTGGCGACCAAAACTGGATGCAATATTCCAAGTGTGGTCTTAGCTAGGCACTCTAAAGTAGTACTAACACTTCTTTACAATCTTAGTCTCTCATTCTTTGGAGGAGACCCCTGACCCCTGGAGAATTCAGAACAAACCCCCCCCCCAAACCCAATCAACCAAAGGAGCAGTTTTACCAAGCAACACCATGAGGTCTCCCAGCTTCCGAGAAGGTCCTTGGCCAGCCCAAATCCTTTGCATCTGTGCCACGCGGGCTCTCTTCCCTTTGAGCTTCTCCTGCTCTTCTTCATTCAGGGCAGGCCTGCATCAAAATAGAATAGAATAGAATAGAATAGAATAGAATAGAATAGAATAGAATAGAATAGAATAGAATAGAATAGAATAGGAGCTGGAAGGGACCTTGGTGGTCTTCTAGTCCAGCCCCCCGCTCAAGCAGGAGAACCTACATCGTCTCAGACAGGTGACTGTCCAGTCTCTTCTTAAAAATCTCCAGTGATGGAGCGCCCACGATTTCTGGTGGCAAGCTGTTCCACTGGTTAACTGTCCTCACTGTCAGGAAGTTTCTCCATAATTCCAGATTGCTTCTCTCTTTGATCAGTTTCCAACCATTGTTTCTTGTCCTGCCTTCAGGCGCTTTGGAGAATAGCTTGACTCCCTCTTCTCTGTGGAAGCCCCTGAGATACTGGAAGACTGCTATCCTGTCCCCCCTCGTCCTTCTCTTCGTTAAACTAGACATACCCAATTCCAGCAGCCGTTCCTTATATGTTTTAGCCTCCAGTGCCCTGATCATCTTTGTTGCTCTTCTCTGTACTCTTTCTAGAGTCTCAACATCTTTTTTACATCGTGGTGACCAAAACTGGATGCAGCGTTCCAAGTGTGGCCTTACCAAGGCGTTGTAAAGTGGTATCAACACTTCACGTGATCTTGATTCTCTTTTGAGGGATGCTTGTTTAATCCTCAAACCAGGTTGGAGCCCACAAAACCATAGATCCAGTTTCTCAACAGCCCCACCGCGGCCTTACCTGTTGAACTCTTCAAACAGCTCCCTCACCGTCAAAGCGGAGACTAAGGCGATGGTGTAGGGCAGGCAGTGGTGCTGCTGGCTCAAGGCAAGCATCTTGGCGTAACGTGGGGCCACCGGGAAGGAGGCCATGAGGACGCCCAAAGGGCTGATGGGGCAGCTGAACTTGGCTTCCTGCAGCTTTTCCAACCTGGAAGAAGGGAACAAGGACATGTGTAAGGGAGAGAAGGAAAGCCATCAAAGAAACGGTCGTAAGCCGAGGATTATACCACCTTCTCGACGTTCAGTCCTTTCATTTGAAGAATTAAATAATCTCTTGGTGTGTTTGTGGGGTCCTGGGTGCTCTCTGAGCTTGGTGATTTCCCTGCAGATGTTTCAGGACCCAACTAGGTAACACCATCAGAGCTAGAAGGGAGAGGGGTTTGTAGAGTGGAGGAGAGGGAGAGGAGGAAGAAGAGGAGGATTGTGGGGTCCTTGGTGCTCTGAGCTTGGTGATTTCCCTGCAGACATTTCAGGATCCAACTAGGTAACACCATCAGGGCTAGAAGGAAGTGGGTTTGCCTTCTGTTTATATACAAGTGGCTTGCCCTGTCAGCTACTGTATAGGCCAGGGGTAGGCAACCTTGGCTCTTTTATGACTGATGGACTTCAACTCCCAGAACTCCTGAGCCAGCCATGCTGAGGGGAAAGGGAGAGGTTTCCAAGCTGAGCCATGCTGGCTCAGGAATTCTGGGAGTTGAAGTCCATGAGTCATAAAAGGGCTAAGTTTGAAGACCCCTGGTTTAAATATTTAGATATTTTTCCCTCACGATCACATGATCAAAATTCAGGCATTTGGGCAGGGGTAGGCAACCTTGGCTCTTTTATGACTCGTGGACTTCAACTCCCAGAATTCCTGAGCCAGCCATGCTGAGGGGAAAGGGAGAGGTTTCCAAGCTGAGCCATGCTGGCTCAGGAATTCTGGGAGTTGGAGTCCATGAGTCATGAGGGGGCCATAGTTCCCCCATTTTGGCTCAGGAATTCTGGGAGTTGAAGTCCATAAGTCATGAAGGGGCCATCGTTCCCCAGTGCTGGATCAGGAATTCTGGGAGTTGAAGTCCACGAGTCATAAAAGAGCCAAGGTTTTGCCTACCCCTGGTCTGTACAGAAAACACTCCCTCCTAGCCCTGATGGTGTTACCTAATTGGGTCACCAAAGGCCTGGAGAGTTAGTGAGGAGGGAGCTAAGAGACCAACCCTTTGGGATCCAAGCACAACTGTCGATGTCCGTTACCTTCCAGATGTGGCAGGCGCCTTCAAGGCGCCCAGGGCGATCAGCAATTCCTCTGCAGCCCTCAGGGCATCGGTGGAGGGCGGGGTAGGAAACGGGAAATTGATCACCTATAGATAGGAAAGAGACAAAAGAGGAGATGGAGAGATACGCGTGTCACGGAGTATTATGGTGGCATGAAGGAGGGACCTTGGGAGACGGCAGAAAGAGATGCCGCTTAGCAAATGGGTCAGATAAAAGGCGAGGGAGCCCCCAGCTGCCTAACTGCCAGGTCCCTGTCGGAACAGCTGCCATTCCAAGGGGAGGGGGGAACTGTCATTTGGGGGCTGAAGAATTTGATGCTTTCGCTTTGATGTATCTGTATACTCTTTCTAGAGTCTCAAGAGAAGACCAACAAAGATGATCAGGGGACTGGAGGCTAAAACATATAAGGAACGGTTGCTGGAATTGGGGATGTCTAGTTTAACGAAGAGAAGGACGAGGGGGGACATGATAGCAGTGTTCCAGTATCTCAGGGGCTGCCCCAAAGAAGAGGGAGTCAAGCTGTCCTCCAAAGCGCCTGAAGGCAGGACAAGAAGCCACGGATGGAAACTCATCAAGCAGAGAAGCAACCTGGAACTAAGGAGAAACTTCCTGACAGTTTGAACAATTAACCAGTGGAACAACCTGCCTCCAGAAGCGGTGAATGCTCCAACACTGGAAGTTTTTAAGAAGAAACTGGACAGCCATTTGTCCAAAATGGTATAGGGTTTCCTGCCTGAGTAGGGGGTTGGACTAGATGACCTCCAAGGTCCCTTCCAACTTTATCATTATTATTATTATTACTTGTTGACTTCAACTCCCAGCAAGGTTGGACACCCCTGTTCTAAGTATGGGAAATAGGGAGGGGGGGGGTTGGGCCATCAAGCCCATCTGGAGGAACTCCTTCCCGGCCAGCTCCCGCCTGTTCCCAAGATCCGTGGTGCCAAGAGGATGACTAAAACTGAAGACCTAAAAAGCCGAACTCTCACCTTCTCGATGTTCAAGGCTTTCATCTGCAGAATTAAATCGTCAACCGGTCGCCTGGTGATCTCGGGAGCAGAAAACTGCTCAAAATCACTGAACACAGCCGAAGAATAAAGCCTGGAACACAAAAAAAAGTGTGCAGCGGAGATCAAAACAATCCTTTTTTTTTAAAAAAAAAGAAACTGTCTCCTTGCTAGTGTGGCTAAACAAGGAGCCACGTTTAAAGACCTGTGCTCATCCCTTTGTGGTGTCCAAAAGAATCAAGATGATTTAGGGCTGCGAGGGTGACAGAAAAGCGTTTTGAGAGAGAAAACTCAAGGCCCGTGTGCAAATATTGTCCGTGTGTACACGCAAACACCCGTGCGCACACTAAGACAAAATCCTTCCAAGGACACAGCTGCCCAAGCCAGATGTTGCTACCTTCACCCAGGGCTAATCAGGCTTTGATGATTTGGGCATGGATAGAAGAAAATGTTTGTACCTCAAGGTCGAAATAAGGGGTCCTTGGTGGTCTCTGAGCTGGGTGGTTTTCTTGCAGACGTTTCATGACCCAACTAGGTACCATCATCAGTGCTAGAAGGGAGTGGGGTTTGCAGAATGGAGGGGGAGGTGGGAGGAGGAGGAGGTGGGAGGAGGAGGAGGAGGAGGAGGACGACGACGACTGTGGGGGTCCTTGGTGCTCTGTTGAGCTTGGTGGTTTTCTTACAGACGTTTTGTGACCCAACTAGGTAACATTATCAGTGCTAGAATGGAGCAGGCTTTGCTCTCTATTTATATAGTAATGGCTTCCCTGTCAATGTTGGTGAGAGTGTTCTTGGTAATTCCTTGATTAGGCTGTTGCTTACTGCTTGATTGTTGATTTGGTATTACAGGGCAAATTTATTGCATATATACAGAGGGCAAGCCCCCGTCCCTTCTAGCACTGATGATGTTACCTAGTTGGGTCATGAAATGTCTGCAAGAAAACTACCAAGCTCAGAGATCACCATGGATCCACATTTGGGCATTCCTGATTTTCAGCTCTGTAAAGAAAAATATAAAAGTGAGCTCACCTGTAACAGTGGCCTGGCTCCGTTCGGCCCGCTCGGCCTGCCCGCTGGTTGGCCGAAGCCTGGGATGTCCACATAACCTTGAAGGATGAGATGCCGGTGACTTTGTCGTAGAAGCGTTTCTTGACCTTCCCACAATCAACCACGTATCTGATGCCCGGGATGGTCAGAGATGTTTCCGCCACGTTGGTGGCCACGACACACAGCCTAGTCCCAGGTGGAGACGGCCTGAAAACCTGAGTTTGGAGCAGTTTTCAATGGATGAGAAAAAGAACAAACTCACCAAAGACAGAGAATAAAGTCTACTAGACATTCCTTCTACAAGAAGGGAAGGGAATAGAAGGGAAGGGAATAGAATAGAATAGAACAGAACAGAACACAATGGGATAGGATAGGATAGGATAGGATAGAACATAGTAGGATAGAATGGAATAGAATAAAAATCAATATATAATATAATATAATATAATATAATATAATATAATATAATATAATATAATATAATATAATATAATATAATATAATATAATATAATATAATATAATATAATATAATATAGCATAACATATTACAATTCAATAGAATAGAATAGAATAGAATAGAATATGGAATAGAATAGAAAATAGAATAGAATAGAATATATAATTCAATAGAATATAATTCAATAACAGAATAGAACAGAACAGAACAGAATAGAATAGAATATAGTATGGAATAGAATATAGAATAGAATATAGAATAGAAAATATGGAATGGAATGGAATAGACTATAGAATAGAATATGGAATAGAATAGAATATAGTATGGAATAGAATATATAATATATAATATAATTAATATAATATAATATAATATAATATAATATAATATAATATAATATAATATAATATAATATAATATAATAATATAATATAATATAATATAATATAATATAATATAATATAATATAATATAATATAATATAATATAATAGTAATACAATTCAATAGAATAGAATAGAATAGAATATGGAATAGAATAGAAAATAGAATAGAATATAGAATAGAATATATAATTCAATAACATAGAATAGAATAGAACAGAATAGAATAGAATATAGTATGGAATAGAATATAGAATAGAATAAAATAAAATATAGAATATAGAATAGAATAGAATAGAGGAACGAAGAATAGGCTAGACTAGACTAGAATAACAGAGTTGGAAGGGACCTTGCAGGTCATCTAGTCTACCCCCCCCCCCGCACCATTTCTGACAAATGGCAGTCCAGTCTCTTCTTGAAAGCTTCCAGAGATGAAGCTCCCACAACCTCTAAAGGCAACATCCTCTGCGGTGATGTTGCCCATGTTGGGGATCCCGCCAGCCACGTCCTATTTGTAAAGACTCCCTTACTGGGGTGGAATGTGGTCTGGATTCCCGAGAGGGAGGGAGGGGCCGCATTGCAGAGAGCAAAGAGGCAGTGAAGATTGGATGGTTTGGCTGGGAGGAAAAGAGTTACGATGGCTGCTCTCTAGCAACTCTCAAAGTATAGGCGGTCCTCGACTTACGACTGAGCCGAAAATGTCCATTGGTCAGCAAGAGAGTTGCTGTGAGTTTTGCCCCGTTTTTATGACCTCTTTTGCCATAGTTGTTAAGTATAGGGTTTCCTGCCTGAGCAGGGGGTTGGAATTGATGACCTCCAAGGTCCCTTCCAACTTTATTATTACTATGATGATGATTATGATGATGTTGTGAATCAGTGCAGTTGTTAATAACACGGTTCTTGAGCGAATCTGGCTCCACCCTTGATTTTGCTGGCTAGAAAGTCTCAAAAGGAGAACGCACGACTCCAGGACGCTGTGAACCTCATAAGTACATGCAGCTTTTCTGAATGTACCCCAATATTCCTACAAGGGTGCTTAGTCTTACCTTGGCTTGCTTTTCTGGAGCCAGCAAAGAGTAGAGAGGAAGGACATAAAGTGGGTGGGAAGAATCCGGTTTTTCACCTGCATTCAAATTATAAACAGGACAAAAAAAATAATAATCTAAGTGCTGAAAAGATTAGCCAGCAAGGTTGTTAGTACTATAATCTGTATTTTCCAGACACAGTCAGACCTCTGCTATTTTTTGTTTGATCATTGATGTTAGCCTTATGTGTTTTTGTTTTAATCACTCACTCCCCTGTGAATCCTCAGGAAATAAGGCAGTATAAAAATATAAATAAAAATATAACCAGTAAATAAATATGTTTTGCAAATCAGAGCTAAGAGGCAGGGGAAGAAGAAAAGCAGCAGCTATTTTTTTCTGGCAGCTTCATGAGAACTAGTCTCTTTGTTACTTTATTTAGATTTATTGACCGTAAATCTAACAGAGTGGTTACTTTTAAAACAGGGATACTTGATCTTAAAAAAAGGTCTCCCGCTGTTAAAGAAAGACTTTGAGGAGATTATACAATAAGCTGCTAACTTAACATTTGTGGTTTGTTGAACAAGCCAGGGTTCCATATCCTATGATAATATGAAGGCAAGATCTGTCCATAAAATAGAAAAAAAAGAACCTGAATCAGATGGTGTCTTATCTTATTATGGTTCAGGCTAATGTGGTTTGATTGGCTAACCATGATTAAAAAATCTCCCAGTCTTCTGTGCAAACTCAACCAACTTTCGAATGCTTGCAAACCTTCTTGAAGGCAATCTTCGCCCAGATCAAGGTCAAGATCCGAACCAACCGAGTTTGCTTCTTCATCGTCTTCGGCGGCCTCGCGGTCTTCGTCTCCTTCGTCAACCGGCAGAACAGAATAATTATCTAGATCAATTTTGGGCAGTGCCTAGAAAGAAAAAGGGAAAAAAACAACCAACTTCAAAGACTCGACAAACTTCTAGATTTAAAATTTAGAAGGCATTTGGGAGAATCTTAGACATAGTTGAACAGTATGAACACATCCAAACATCTAAAGCAAGAAGATAAATCAGACTGTTATCTTAAAGTAGATAGAGGGTACTTAGGAGATGAATGTGCAAAACTAAGATTTGGGGGGGATTTTTTTAAGAAGGAGCAAATATAGGTTGTCTATAGAATAGAATAGAATAGAATAGAATAGAATAGAATAGAATAGAATAGAATAAGGACTATGAAAAAGAATAGAATAGAGTAGAGTAGAGTAGAGTAGAGTAGAATAGAATAAGGAATATGAAATAGAATAGAATAGAATAGAATAGAATAGAATAGAATAGAATAGAATAGAATAGAATAGAGCTGGAAGGGACCTTGGAGGTTTTCTAGTCTAGCCCCCTGCTCAAGCAGGAGAACCTATACCATTTCAGACAAGTAACTGTCCAGCCTCTTCTTAAAAATCTCCAGTGATGGAGCGCCCACGAGTTCTGGAGGCAAGCTGTTCCACTGGTTGATTGTCCTCACTGTCAGGAAGTTTCTCCTTAATTCCAGGTTGCTTCTCTCCTTGATCAGTTTCCATCCATTGTTTCTCGTCCTTCCCTCTGGTGCTTTGGAGAATAACATGACCCCCTCTGCCTTGTGGCAGCCCCTCAAATACTGGAATGCTGCTATCCTGTCTCCCCTATTTCTTCTTTTCTTTATACCAGCCAAACCCAAATCCTGCAGCCGTTCTTCGTATGTTTTAGTCTCCAGGCCTTTGATCATCTTAGTCTTTGACTTACTACCGTTTATTTAGTGACTACTCAAAGTTACAATGGCACTGGAAAAAAGCGACTCGCAACTGGTCCTTGCGCCTGTAACTGGTGCACCATGTAAATGGTCATGTGATCAAAATTTGGACTCTTGGAAACCAGCCTGGAACTATGACAGTTGCAGGAAAATTTTGCTTACTTGAAGAGCGTGCTTCTTTTTCCGTCTGGATTTCTTAAACCTTCGGATGGCTTTCAGAGAATCGTAGTCATCGTCAGAGCCTACAACGAGCAAAGCCACATCTTTCTCAACCAAGTCTATAAAATGTTAGTAGAACTCTCAGAATTTCTCAGGCTGTATGGACGGACTTCAACTCCCAGAATTCCCCAGCCAGTCCACCCATTCTGGCTGGGGAATTCTGGGAGGTGAAGCCCTCCCCTCTTAAAATGGCCAGGATTGAGAAACACAGCTACTTATCACCAGATATCGGGGTCCTTTCAGAGAGTTGAAAGAGTGGAGAAGATCAATTAAAGTCGAGTAAAGTCCTCGACGTACGACAGGTCATTTAGCGACCACCTGAAGTTACGACGTCACTACAAAAAAGTGACTTATGGACATTTTCACACCGATGATTGTTGCAGCTTCTCTGTGGGTCACGCGATCAAAATTTGGACGCTTGGAAAATGATTCATATTTATGACACGCTTGGAAACTGACTCATATTTATGACGGTCGCAGGGATCACGGGGTCACGTGCTCCCCTTTTTGCGACCTCCTGACCAGCAAAGTCAATGGGGGAAGCCAGATTCACTTCACAACTGTGTTACTAACTTAACAACTGCAGTGATTCACTTAACAACTGTGGCAAGGGAGGTCGTAAAATGGGACAAAAACTCCCTTAACAACGGCCTCACTTAGCAACATGTCGGGCTCAGCTGTGGTCATAAATTGAGGACTACCTGTATGACATTTTCTGCCCTTAGCAAAGAAAAAACAGCTACGCAACTCTGAAGATTTTAACCGAAATGCAGAGCGCAGGTAAATAACTCCTAAGGCTTGAATTGACCACCTCCCACAATTCCTGGGGCAAGTCAACCTCCAAACCCTCTGGATGGCCTCAGGTTGCCCCCTCCCAGGTCAGAGAAGGCAAGGCCACACTCTCAAGGACCAAGAGCCTTTTTCCGCGCTGCTGCTTGAGGAAGGATTAAAATGGAGGACACGGGGGGTCAGAGCTGAAGATAAGACGTTTAGCTACGCACTTTAGGATGGACGCCCTTCGAACGGTGCGGGAGCATGAATGGATTTCCCGAAAACATTGCAGCCAAGAAGGCTCCACACCCATTTGCACTATTCAATTTAACCCTGAGGACACAGATAAACCTCCAACGACTCTCCAAAAGGACGCAAATGACCAGCTGTCTGCAAGGAGTATAAATCCTTCCAGTCCCCCACCATCCGGTTGGAGCCGAAGAAGCTTCTGGGATGAGAAGCGAAACGTCTTCAGAAGAAAAACAAGGAAGTCCAGTGGCCTCCTGAAAAAGCACCTTTGGGACAGGACACGGGAGTAAATTTCAAAGATCGCAAAACTTACCCGGCGTCGCGTTTTTGCAAAAAGGGAAGGATTTCCTCAGCCTCCGACACAGGGAATGGACTTCGGCTTGCCCAGTTAAGAAGACCAAAATGCCCCCTGCAAAAGGAAAGAACGGCGGCATTTTAAACTGGATCACCAAAGAGAACGCTGCAAAGTGCATAGAGCAATGGTGGCGAACCTATGGCACACGTGCCAGAGGGGGACTCTCGGAGCCCTCTCTGTGGGCACGCGCACCTCGTTCTTTGGCTAAGTTTTCACAGGAAAAAGCCATTTCTCAAGCCCCTTCCTAGCCAAAACAAGCCTCCGGAGCGAGCGCGCTGTTTTCAGCTTTGAATTATATCAAATCTGACACCAGAAACAGACTTAACAGATGACCTGAGTGCTGCGTGTGTTGCTCTCAAACTTACAAAGTATGAGCCAAGGTTAGACAAATGATCAGCCTGCATACAACAGCAAAAATCACATTAATTGCTCAAAAGCATGCCAAATGCAAACTTTCACCTTTCAGTAAAAAGTTGTGTGTATCACTGAAAGCTTGGTCATTGTGTTTTTCTTTTAAGACAAAAGATGTTAATGTATGAGTTGCTTTTTTTCTAAACTAAAACCTCAGTATTCAGATTAAATTGCCCGTGTTGGCACTTTGCGATAAAGAAGTGGGTTTTGGGGTTGCAGTTTGGGCACTTGGTCTCTAAAAGGTTCGCCATCACTGGCATAAAACATCCATCTCTGCAAAAGTCAAAACTTCCTGCAGAATATCCAAAATGTTTTAAATGCTGAAAGACCTGGCTGGGGATGATGGGGGTAGGCATCCGGCTTAGTGGGCCTGCTTTGGGGAAGAAGCAGAGAGATCTATGGGTAGTCAGAACTTTAAAGCAGGGGTCCCCAACCCCCCAGTCCGTGGACTGGTACCAGGCAGCGGCATGCCAGCAACCGGGCCACACAAACAAGCAAAGCCCCATCCATGGGATGCAGGCAGCACGCAAAACCATGCCCCCTCCGGTCTGTGGAAAAACCTCTCTTCACGTAACCGGTCCCTGGTGCCCAAAAGGTTGGGGACCTGTGCTTTAAAGGGAATATTTTTAGTTCAGGGTTGCAGTCCTTGATGCTCTCTGAGCTTGGTGGTTTTCTTGCAGATGCTTCATTACTCAACTAGGTAAAATCATCAGTGCTAGTGAGGTATGCAGGGAGGAGGAGGAGGAGGGGGGAGAGGAGGAGGACTGTGGGGTCCTTGATGTTCTCTGAGCTGGGTGGTTTTCTTGCAGACGTTTCATGATCCAGCCAGGTAACATCATCAGTGCTAGAAGGGAGTGGGGTTTGTAGAATGGAGGAGAAAGAGAGGAAACTGATGATGATGACTAACATCATTAGTTGGAGGAGGAGGACGACGACTCTGGGGTCCTTGGTGCTCTCTGAGCTTGGTGGTTTTCTTGCAGATGTTTCATGGCCCAAGTAGGGAACATTATCAGTGGTAGCAGGGTGCAAACCCTGCTTCTTTCTGGCACTGATGATATTACCTAGTTTGGTAATGAAACGTCTCCAAGAAAACCACCAAGCTCAGAGAGCAGCAAAGACCCCACAGTTGGAACTGTATTGAAACACCATCAGGGAATGACTATAGAAGAATGGACGCTTAAAGTGTCAAATTTAGCAGAAATGGCTAAGATTTCTGCCTATTTGAAGGATCACTCACAAGAAAGATACATTTCGGTTTGGAGAAGATGGATAGATTATATTCAGAATAAATATGGGACTAAAAAGTTCCATTTAGCTTATGAGTAAATTTTAGAGTATTATTAGTATTAATAGTTTACTATAGTGAAATTTTTATTAGTTTTAATTATATTATATTATTATTACTTTTAGTATTAGTATTGTTTTAACAATATGGATATTCTATTGTTTAATAATTAGGATACTAATTTGTTTATGTTTTAATTATTATTATTATATTTATGTTAAAGGGGAGTTAAAGCGCATTATGGACTTGGTTATTTATATAGTTGGTTGTTAGTTAGATTATGATTATTATATTTGTAACCCTGTATTCAGCTCTGGGAAGCGGGGGAGGGAGAGGAGGGGTTAGGGGGGGTTGGTTTTGGGGTTTATATTGTAACTTTTATAAAACTTTTCAATAAAAAAAAAAAGAAACACCATCAGGGAATGATGTGCTGCTGTTGTTACGTGAATGCTTTGCAAAGACAAAATTCAATTTTACAGGTATCTCTTCAGGCAACTGTTTTTGTTTGTTTTTCTTTTAATCAGCCCTCTGACCTGGAGGAAGCATTCGGTGAATTTTGCAGACTTTCCGGAAACATTCCCCGCTGTAATCATCCAACGGGGTCCTCTTGTTGAAATGAACGGTGACCGGAAACTGCCTCGCATCCACCTGACATAGAAAAGACCATAGGTTAAAAAACAATAGCAAGACAACGAAACAATGGTCTGAACCCCAATTTAAATCAACCTTATCAGAAGGTTCTGGGTTAAATTACTGCCCTATTCTTTAAATTTTCGAAATAAAAGGCTTCCAGTCACGGACAGCTCTTTATTTTATAGCTAACATAAATACGATATATAATTACGATCTAGGTCAGGGGTGGGGAACCTTGGCTCTTTTATGACTCGTGGACTTCAACTCCCAGAATTCCTGAGCCAGCCATGCTGAGGGGACAGGGAGGTTTCCAAGCTGAACAATGCCGGCTCAGGAATTCTGGGAGTTGAAGTCCACGAGTCATAAAAGAGCCAAGGTTGCCTACCTATGGCCTAGGCCGCTTTATGACTCGTGGACTTCAACTCCCAGAATTCCTCAGCCAGCATGGCTCAGCTTGGAAACCTCTCCCTTTCCCCTCAGCACGGCTGGCTCAGGAATTCTGGGAGTTGAAGTCCACCAGTCATAAAAGAGCCAAGGTTGCCTACCCCTGATCTAGGTAGTCCTTGGCTTATGACCACAACTGAGCCCCACATTTTGCCTTGATAAGCAAGACAGTTAAGGAAGCTTTGCCCCATTTTACGACCTTTTTCCCCCCAGTTGTTAAGTGAATCCCTGCAGCTGTTAAGTTAGTAACACAGTTGTTAAGAGAATCTGGTTTTCCCTATTGACTTGGCTGGTCGAAGTCGCAAAAGGGGATCGCGTGACACCCCGGGATGCTGCAACCGTCATAAATACGAATCGGTTGCCAAGCGCCCGAGTTTTGGTCACGTGACCACGGGGTGGTGCAACGGTCGTAACTGTGAAAAACGGTCCTAAGTCCCTTTTTTTCAATGCCGTTGTAACTTTGAATGCTCACTAAAAGAACCGTTGTAAGTCTACAACACGTAGAAATGCAAAATTATCAGGCGCTGAACTCAGCTTAATTTTATCTTCACCAAAGTAAAAGCCGAGTCAGAAACGGGAAGGTCTTTCCTAAAGTTTCAACTAAAGGGCTAAAGGGAGACTTTGAGATGAGGGGAAATTTGATTATTAGGATTAAATATTGTCGGGAAATAATAAAAAATAAGGGATTAATTGGCTTAATATTGAGGATTTAGACTTATAAGGGAAATGAAAATTAACTATTAGGAAATAGCTTTGAATGATTGTTTAGCCCCGAGTGGGGGTTTTTGTATGGGTGTGTTTTTAGAACAGGCCCATTATTTAATTTGATTTTAGAACTGCCTATATTTATCATGGTTTTTATTATTGCCTGTTCACCGCCCTGAGTCCCGTAAGGGAGATAGGGCGGTATATAAATTCAATAAATAAATAAATTAATAAATAATCAAGGATACTCCATTATTGTGGTGATGTATTAGGATGAGAAATAGAAAATGTTTGTGAAATAAAATAAGAATATATTTACGTTAAGTAATATGTGTATTATAGATAGTATAACTTCTATGTAGTGAAATAAAGGAAATTTGGGGTACCCGGAAATAAAATAGTATGGATATTAAGGTTAAACTGGAGTATTGCAATTAAATATTAAAATTAGGTAAAACTTAAAAATAGGATATGGATATGCATAAGCAAAAACGTATTGATAAATGTTTTAACTGAGTCTGATATAATTAGAAATTTACTAGCTTAAATATGATATAGCAAGTGTTAAGGGAAATGGAGAAGGAATTTTTGATGAGATATGCACTAAAGATGTTGTTATTGAACTATTGACTAACCCAATCACCACGTTGCTTTCCAAATACTTAATTGTAAAACTGGAAAACTAATAAAAAATTGTTATTAAAAAAAAGAAGAAGAAGCGGGAAGGCCTTGGGGCGAAACTGACCAAAATAGGGGTTGCGATGAAGCAGAGATATGAAGGAAGCCTGGGCAAAATGTTCAAAAACCTCATTTATTGTTCCTACCCATCCACACACACACACACACATCCCACTCCCTTTTCACCTGGATAACCGGAGGAGGAACACGAAAGAGTTTCTGGTTAGCGGTGAAATCCTCCACGCGCAGCGTCGCAGACATGATGATCAGTTTCAGCGGCTGCCCTTTCTGAGAACGGAGAAACGAAACGCTGGAAGACAGAGACTCATCCCCAACGGCCTGCGCCCGTCTTCAACAGGGAAGGGACCCATGGCAGAAAACATCCTGCAGCCAAGAAGGCTTCACAACCATTTGCACCGCTCAGGTGACCCTGAGGACACAGGTAAGCCTCCAAGTGGCCTCAACGACCCTCTAAAACAGGGGCCTTCAAACGTGGCCCTTTTATGACTTGTGGACTTCGACTCCCAGAATTCCTCAGCCAGGCACGCTGGCTGAGGAATTCTGGGAGTCGAAGTCCACAAGTCATAAAAAGGCCAGGTTTATGATTTGTGGACTTCAACTCCCAGAATTCCTCAGCCATTTGCACTGCTCAGGTGACCCCGAGGACACAGGTAAGCCTCCAAGTGGCCTCAACAACCCTCTAAAACAGAGGCCTTCGAACGTGGCCCTTTTATGATTTGTGGACTTCGACTCCCAGAATTCCTCAGCCATTTGCACTGCTCAGGTGACCCCGAGGACACAGGTAAGCCTCCAAGTGGCCTCAATGACCCTCTAAAACAGAGGTCTTCAAATGTGGCCCTTTTATGACTTGTGGCCTTTGACTCCCAGAATTCCTCAGCCAGGCACGCTGGCTGAGGAATTCTGGGAGTTGAAGTCCACAAGTCATAAAAGGGCCACGTTTGAAGACCCGCTGCTCTAAAAGGATGCCAATGACCAGATGTCTGCAAGGAATATCAATCCTTCCATTCCCCCCACCATCCAGTCAGAGCCGAAGAAGCTTCTGGGATGAGAATCGAAACGCCTTCAAAGGAAAAACAATAAACTCTCTCAAAGTTTGGGCAGAATTAAAGATGAGAAAGATTTTTTGGGGGGGGGAACGAGAGGAGGAACGTGGGGTGCATGTGTGTGTAGAAGAGGCTTTCCTTTGAATCTAGCCATTGTTTTATCTGGCTTTTAGCTTGCTGGAAGGCCGGAGTTATTTAGAAGTAAGACACCTTTCGATTAAACAGAGCTCAACGTGGAAACACGGCGTGCATTTGATTAATTAATCCTTCTTTCTTCTTTACCTTAGCCCGGAGAGGGATGATGCGCGATAGAAGGCCAATTAAGATGTCGGTGTACACACTCCTCTCGTGGGCTTCGTCCAGAATGACGACGTGATACTTGGACAGCAAAAAATCCTGAAACAAACAAACAAAACAAAAAAATTAAGACGTGGAAGAATTTCCGTCCGGTTTGCCAGGCTCGTGAACTGAGATTCAGAAGCGATAAACCTCCAAAGACATCAAGCAAAGTCAATGGACAAAGCTGGATTTGCTTAATGACCGTGTGATTCACTTAACAACTGCAGCCATCGGTTTAACAACATACCCCCCCCCAAAAAAAGGGTGCAAAATTGGCCATGACTCATTTAACAACCCCCTGGCTTAACAATAGAGATTCTGATCCCAATTGTGGTCGTAATTTCAAGACCTTTTAAGGAGGAGTGAAAAAAAAAAGTTTCTTCCCTGCCTCTTTTATTTCATTACTGGGGAGGAAACAGGAAGAAGAGATTACGGACTCCCCAAATTTTTTCTTGGCCTGCTAAAGCTAGAAAATGTTCAGCCTATCTGTGCGTTCTCCTAAAATCAATTTCCACCTCATTTTTCAAAGGAGGGAAATATAAAGTACTCACCTTCTGGATTTCTTTCAGCAGCACACCGTCCGTCATGAACTTGATTTTCGTGTCCTTCGTCACGTTCCCCTCGTAACGGATTTGGTAGGAAATCACACTGGTACAGAGAATGTGGAAAGCATGTTGAGGTTGTCAAGATTTCCCTCACAACACACAAAACTGAGATGAGACCGTTAAACCCATCCAGTCAGGACACCCATCCTGCTGGATGTATGTAGGGCAAACGTAAACAGCAATGCTTAAATAATGTTAGGCTCCTGATCTCCACACATCGTCCAGTTTTTGATTTTATTTTATTTTATTTTATTTTATTTCTTCTTCTTCTTCTTCTTCTTCTTCTTCTTCTTCTTCTTCTTCTTCTTCTTCTTCTTCTTCTTCTTCTTCTTCTTCTTCTTCTTCTCCTTCTCCTTCTCCTTCTCCTTCTCCTCCTCCTCCTCATTAATGTTATAGAGTTGGAAGGGACCTTGGAAGTCATCTAGTCCAACCCCCTGCTCAGGCAGGAAACCCTATACCATTTCAGACAAATGGTTGTGCAGTCTCTTCTTTAAAACTTCCTGTGTTGGAACATTCACAACTTCTGGAGGCAGGTTGTTCCACTGGTTAATTGTTCTAATTATCAGGAAGTTTCTCCTTAGTTCTAGGTTGCTTCTCTCCTTGATGAGTTTCCATCCATTGTCGTTCCTTCCTTCCTTCCTTCCTTCCTTCCTTCCTTCCTTCCTTTCTTTCTTCCTCCCTCCCTCCCTCCCTCCCTCCCTCCCTCCTTAGTTCCAGGTTGCTTCTCTCCTTGATTAGTTTCTATCCATTGCTTCTTGTCCTGCCTTCTGGGGCTTTGGAGAAAAGCTTGATTCCCTCTTCTTTGGGGCAGCTCCTGAGATATTGGAACACGGCTATCATGTGACCCCTCGTCCTTCCCTTCATCAGACTAGACATACCCAATTCCAGCAACCGATTCTGCTAGCAGTCATTTCAAAAACCCAAAGAACGTGTTTGGTTGGATCGAGTTAGTTAAAATAATACTAAGGAACCAAACTAGAGAACAAGCTGAAACAGTGGCTTGTAACTTTATAGAAATTGTTCTCAAAAAAAACATTCAGAGTCATAATCATGCAAAGCCCCAAATCATCACGTCACTGTCCAGCTACTTACATTCCCTGAAAAATCTATCTCACGTGCATAGCTGAGTCCTCAAATGGTTTCTCGAACTTAAGACAGATGCCAGAACTTGCCATGTTTCTATTTCAACAGAGGTGTTTTTTTTCCACACACCCCAATTATATCTGAAACCAATTTTGGAAAGAGCCATCCTTACTGTTGGGATAAATTCATTTCTGCTGCGACGCGCTGAGACATAGACATCGCTGCTACACGCCTCGGTTCGGTAACCCCGATGCCGCCGGTGCTACAAAACAGAATTGAGATGAGGTTTTAGTAGTAGTAGACTAGTTAAGAGCAGTTTCCCAACCGTGGCAACTTTTGAGATGTGTGGACTTCAACTCCCAGAATTCCCTAGCCGCACGAGTGGACTTCAATTCGCGGGATTCCACAGACAGCATGGATGGACTTCAACTCCCAAGATTCTGGCGGAGGAATTCTGGGAGTTGAAGTCTGTGTTGAAGTTTTAAAGTTAACTAAGCTTGAAAAAAAACGCTGGTTTAAATTATTTGTACCAGAGCTTTGTGGAAATGAAGGCTTGAGGCTAGTGTGTGTGTGCAGGCTACTATTAATGGATTTAATTTTCTTCTAGCAAGCACAGGGAGATGCAACCGACCAAAGAATTAAAAGCCAATACAATTAATCCTTCGGCTTATGACCATAACTGAAATTATCAAAAATTTTGATTGCTAAGCGAGACATTTGTTAAGTGAGTTTTGCCCCATTTTACGACTTTACTTGCCCCGGTTGTTAAGTAAATCACTGCAGCTCTTAAGTTAGTAACACAGTTGTGAAGTGAATCTGGCTTCCCCCATTGGCTTTGCTGGTCAGGTGGTCGTAAAAAGGGATCACACGGTCCCAGGATACGGTCATAAACACGAGCCGGTTGCCAAGCATCCAAATTTTGATCCCATGACCACAGGATCATAAGTGTGAAAATCGATCCAAGGGCAGTTGTAACTTCGAACTGTCACTAAATGAAGTGTTGTAAGTCAAGGACTATCTGTACAAGTGGCTACGTTTGAAGCCCCCCAAATTTATACCTCGCATAGCCTGCTTCATAGAGGAACTGAGGCACTTGTGTGGTTTTCCCACAACCTGTTTCCCCGCATATGATGACGATCGGATTCTCCCGCACGGCTTCCATCACAACTTGTTCTTCTCCAAGGATGGGGAGTTTCAACCTGGCTTCCTTGGACACACAAGAGAAAATCCATGAACACCAACTGGCAGTCAAAAGGCATGACGAAAATGCTTTAATTTCACACAACATGTAGACAGATTTAATCACAGTTTCAATTGGGAAAATGTGACCGTCCTAGACCAGGCCAAATTCCAAAATGCCAGGGAATTTTCAGAAGCCTGGCCCTTGGATAAATCAGCCACCAATAGACACATGGACATTAACTACATCTGTATGTGCAAAAGAGACAATCAACCAGCCCCCAAAAGAACAAAAAAACCCAAGCATCTCTCCACCAGTAATTAGCACTCAGATCAGCATAGATTAACTCCAAGGTCACCTTCAGACCAACAATCAAGTAAGCAATTATATCCCAATCAAGAAACCAAAGAGCCATTACTAAACAGCCCAACCAAAGAATCTCTAAGACCGTCCCCACCCATCCAGACAGGCAAAACACCAGAATACAAACCGACAGCAAACAGCACTTACTGGCACTGATGATGTTACCTAGCTGGGTAATGAAACGTCTGCAAGAAAACCAGCAAGCTCAGAGAGCACCAAGGACCCCATAGTCAGTCCTTCCTTCCTTCCTTCCTTCCTTCCTTCCTTCCTTCCTTCCTTCCTTCCTTCCTTCCTTCCTTCCTTCCTCCCTCCCTCCCTCCCTTCCTTCCTTCCTCCCTCCCTCCCTCCCTCCCTCCCTCTCTCCCTCCCTAAATTCCACTCCCTTCTAGTACTGATGAGGTTACCTAGTTGGGTCATGAAACATCTGGAAGAAAACCCCAAGCTCAGAGAGCACCAAGGACCCCACAGTCCTTCCTTCCTCCCTCCCTCCCTAAATTCAATCCCTTCTAGTACTGATGATGTTACCTAGTTTCGGAATGAAATGTCTGCAAGAAAACAAGCAAGCTCAGAGAGCACCCAGGACCCCACAGTCCTTCCTTCCTTCCTTCCTTCCTTCCTTCCTTCCTTCCTTCCTTCTTTCCTTCCTTCCTTCCTTCCTTTCCTTCCTTCCTTCCTTCCTTCCTTCCTTCTTTCCTTCCTTCCTTCCTTCCTTTCCTTCCTTCCTTCCTTCCCTCCCTCCCTCCCTCCCTAAATTCCACTCCCTTCTAGCACTGATGATGTTACCTGGCTGGGTAATGAAACGTCTGCAAGAAAACAAGCAAGTTCAGAGAGCACCAAGGACCCCTCAAACAAAGAATATTTACAAAGAACAAACACTACGGTAGCCCAAACTGTACATTTAATTTCAGCACACATCATTTTGGAGTTTTAAAGCCAGCTTGTGGTTAATATTCCCACCCTAAGAACCTCTTCCGATGCAAGCTGCAGGTTGCTTCACATTTCCCAGACCAAATGGTTTAATTGCACTTGATTTACGTAGCCCCCGAGCTCTGATGTATGTGATATGTGTGTCCAATTCAAGTTTGCTTCGTTAGCAAACCTGAATGAGGCATGAGAACATTCTCCAGGGATTGGATTCAAAACTGACCTGAATATCGGGGGATCGATCCACTGGAACAAACACTGCAGGTTCAGACAGAGGCTTAGAGGTTGCGTCTCTTTGCCCGGAAAGTTCATCAAATTCTTTGGGCAAAGAGAGCGGAGATTTGGAGACCTTTCTGGATGCTGTCTCGGTGGTGGTGGAGGCTTCTGGGAGTGCCTGGTCAAATGGTTCTTCCTCTTCAGAATCCTCAACTTCCTTCTCCTCCTCTTCCTCTTCTTCTACCTCTTCCTCCTCCAATTCAAGTCTGCCTCTTTTCCTTCGGGTGCCCCCAATGCTTTTGATTTTCTTCGACCAGCCGGCATTCGCTTCTTGGACTGACCTGGAACACCAAGACTTCCACATTATCCCACAAGCATTGATGAGACACCAGGGAAGATGACTGATGCCAGCTTGGAGATGAGTGGATATCCGGTCTCGGAATCCCCCAATCAGATAAATATTTTTTTCTAACAATTCTGGGGGCTCCCATATCTGGAGGTGCCCAGAAAGATTGGCTGCCGTCTCTGAACATCATCTGCCTCTCCCAAAGGGTATATAAGCTAAACGCTCAAATGGGTGCAGAAAGGCGCCATCCAACGAAACATATGCCCGTGTTGCATAAATAAAATGAGCCGATGAACTTGAACCCTTCCTTAAAGCCAATCCTGCATCCTACTGTATTAGCACTGATTATGTTACCTAGTTGGGTAATGAAACGTCTACAAGAAAACAGCCAAGCTCTGAGAGCATCAAAGATCTCACAGTCATCATCATCCCGCTCCTCCTCCTCCTCCTCTGCAAACCCATTCCCTTCTAGCACTGAAGATGTTACCCAGCTGGGTCAAGAAACGTCTGCAATAAAACCACCAAGCTCAGAGAGCACCAAGGACCCCACAGTCCTCTTCCTCCTCCTCCTCCTCCTCCTCCTCTCCACAAACCTCATCCCCTTCTAGCACTCATGATGTTACCTAGTTCAGGGCTTTTCAACCAGTGGTACGGCTACCACCTGTGGTACATTGGCACCTGGCAGGTGGTATGTGACCATCCTAGAAAAGTAGCGGGGGAGGGGAATGAGCTGAACCGGTGGCAGCACCGCACAAGCCTGAGCAAGAGACGGCTGGAGCTGCAGGGCTGTCAGGGCTCAGCGGAAGCGCCAGGATCAGCGCCAGGATCCAGCTGCAGCTCGGCGCTGATCCTGGTGCTTCTGCTGAGGCCAGAAGAAGCGCCGATCAGCTGGAATGTTGCCTTATCTCCAGGGTCTTGTGATTTACATTCAGATGCTTGGCCACTGATTCATATTTATGACGGTCACAGTGTCCCAGGGTCATGTGAAGTGACCAAAACCTGCTGCAACCACCCAGCAGATGGGGGAAATAAAAACCAAACACCCCCCACCCCACCCCCGCTGCCAATCCTCAACAGAAATGCTCACAATAATGAAAACCTTGGACAGGAGGAAGAGTGCCACCGGGCGGGCAGGCAGGCAGGTGTCTTGCTCGGCTGTGGCTTGGGGGGCACTTTTTTCAGTGCCATTGTAACTTCAAACAGTCACTAAGCGAACTGTTGTAAATTGAGGACTACCTGTACTTCATCACTTTTTTCCTTTTTTTTGGTCATCAAGTTTTTGACACCTTGCTAGGCGACTGGTGGTACTCGGATATTGCCGTATCCTAAAAGCGGTACGATGGGTGAAAAGGTTGAAAAGCCCTGACCTAGTTGGGTCATGAAAAATCTGCAAGAAAACCACCAAGCTAAGAGAGCACCAACGTTCCCACAGTCCTCCTGCTCCTTTTCCTCCTCCTCCTTCTCCCCCTCCTCTTCCTCCCTTCTCCTTCTCCATTCTGCAAACCCCACTTCCTTCTAGCACTGGGTCGTGAAACGTCTGCACGAAAACCACCAAGGTGCCAGGAACGCGCCGCTCATCGAGAAGGCCGGCGAACGGAATCTCTCCTTCTCGCGGCCACGAGGCTCCAGAAAAGAGCAGGGCCCTGCCGTTCGACGAAACGCAAGTTGTTGGCTTGTTCTGGAAGGGGGTGAAGACTGGGTGGCAGAGACCCGTAGGTGCCCTTGTCCACCTCCCATTCCTTTCAGGTCGCCATTGAGGCGGCCACGAGGCCTGCGTCCGCCATTTTGTCTTCGGGCTGGGTGTGGCCGCCATTTTGCTGAGGCCTTCACTCCGGCGGAGGCTGGGCCTGCTAATACATTTTATAGCCTACTGTGTTGGGCTTTCAAGGGGGTGTTTCTACAAATTCATTCGGATCCTTCTCAGGATCTTTATCTGGAATAAGGGAGCCCCTTATTTCCTCATTCCTCCCACTTCTTTACCTTACCTTTTCGCCTGGAACATCCGTTTTCCTGTTCCCAGCTTGGAGGTGGTATAGAGGAGCTTCATTTCGGCCTCGGACACCTGGACTTCACTCAGCTTTTTCAGCAATTCCACTCGCTAGAATTTCAAACCCCACCAAACAGAACAAAGGACATGAGCCGAGGATGGGGGGGTGAGGTCTCCTGCCTCCCCACATCACAATATTCAAGCATGGGTTTCCTGGAATCAATCAATCAATCAATCAATCAATCAATCAATCACCCCACCTTTTCTTTCTTGGCTTTTTGTTCCAAAACCTTCTGCAAATTCTTCTTCTGCTTCTTTGTCAGGGGTTTCTTTCCGGGACTTTTAAGGCAGGTTGTCGGTTTCTCCTGGGTTTTCCGGGACGGAAGGACAAGGGCGTTGCTCTCATCCACTCCTTTCAGGATGGTTTCATCTAGAAGGGTTTTTTTTGGGGGGGGGAAGAGAAAGAGGACCTCACCAGATCAGATTGCAACCCTACTTTGCTAGTCCACCTCCATGCGTGTTCACTCCGGAAATAAGTCCCCTGAACTCAAAACCAAAGATGGTGCCAATAGTCACAGGTGCCTTGGGTGCAATCCCAAAATAGCTGGGAGCATCACTCGAGCATCATCGGCATTGACAACAATCCCCATCAGTCAATTGCAAAAGGCAGCTTGACTTGGAACAGCTGACATCCTGTGACAATGATACTTTTAATACTGCCAAACTGGCCTATTGTAGCTCCTCGGCAAGGACTTGATAGGTGGACAAAAATGTCAAATCCGTTCTAAACATCCGGCTGACTGTGCAAACGTCAACCTCACAAGGTTGTTGTTGTGGGGGGAAAAAGAGGAGGTGGAAAGAGTTTATGTTCACTGCCTTGCATTATTTATAAAGTAACGAGGCAGGATGTGTGTATCTCATTTTAATTAGGTTTTAAAGCGGGTATTTTTATCTCTGTATCTGTTTTATCAGGCTGTCAGCCGCCCTGAGTCCGTAAGGAGAAGGGCGGGATAAAAATTCAAACAAATAAATAAAAAATAAATAAAATGTGTGTGTGTGTGTTAAATTTGGATTTCTTCTTCCCATATTTGGGCTGACCGGGTGCACCATAAAAAACACTTAAGACACACACATACACACACACATTTAAAAAAAAAAAAGCCAACTTAAGAGGTAATGCTAATTTGCTTTTGAGATGGCCATGGAATATAAACCAGAGTCAGTTTGGTCTAATCTAATGGCTCAGGCAAGCCAGGCTAGAAAGTGGGCGAGATCCTGAGTTCAAGTCCTGCCCTAGCCTGAAAACCAGCTGGGTTAGGTGAGCTTTGAGCCAGTCCCTCTTTCCTAGCCCAACCTACCTCACAGGGTTGTTGTGGGGGAAGAAGAGGAAGGAGTATTATGTATGTTCCCCACCTTGGGGTATTTAGAACAATAATTCAAGGCGGGATACAAAAAAAGTTAAATAAATAAAACAGTATTTAGGACGGGAAAACAGCAAGCCCTGGGACAGACTTTATCTGGATCTTTTGGGCCTGCCCCTCCCTCCCTCTCCCAGGCTACCCCACCTTGCAAGGTTGTTGTTATAAGAAGTATCAAAAAGGCGGTTTAAAATATAATAGTGATAGTAGCAGTAGCAGTAGCAACAACAATAACAATACTAATAATCTTCACCTCCCAATTCCAGCTGCACAGGCTCCTGGGGAGCGGGACCCCCCTTCCTGGGCGATCCTGGCAGCCGCGCCCGCCAATTGCGCCTCTTTTGCGCCTTCCCCATCGAGGCGCGCATCAACAGAACCTCCCACGTGGATTCCCCAGGAGCAAACACTTCCGCCTTCTGCCGTCTCTTCGCGCCCCGTCTCGCGAGAACTCGCCCAGCCCCGCCCCGCCCCGGGCTCCGACTCTATGGTACCAAGAAGCCCGTTCGAAGGAGGAGAGCGGGTGGGAGGCAAAACGCGGCGGGAAATCCAGACCTGGAGGTGACGCTGATAACCCTGAGTGTTATGGAATGGAATGGAATAGAGAATGGAATAGAATAGAATAGAATCTGGAAGGGACCTTGGAGGTCTTCTAGTCCAACCCCCTGCTCAAGCAGGAGACCCTATATAACCATTCCAGACAGATTCCAGAACTTGCCATGTTTCTATTTCAACAGAGGTTTTTTTTATGTTAAGAACTGAATATATAATTTTTTAAATAAAAGATTAACAAGATCTGAATTCCAGCACTTTTTTTTTCTTACAAAAAAAGCACTGGATATAGAGATAGATAGACAGACAGACAGACAGACAGACAGATAGATAGATAGGGAGAGAGAGAGAGAGAGAGAGAGAGAGAGAGAGAGAGATGATAGATAGATAGAGAGAGAGAGATGATAGGTAGGTAGGTAGGTAGGTAGGTAGGTAGATATAGATAGATAGATAGATAGATAGATAGATAGATAGATAGATAGATAGATAGATAGATAATTGGTAGATAGATAGATGATAGGTAGATAGATAGGTAGATAGATAGATATAGATAGATAGATGATAGATAGATAGATAGATAGATAGATAGATAGATAGATAGATAGATAGATAGATAGATAGATAGACAGACAGACAGACAGACAGACAGACAGATGCAATAAAGATACCATTGCAAAAATTACAGTAAACATTTAAGGTTTATTTGGTCACCACGCCATAATTCAATTGTGACATCAGTCTACAAACAATTCACTATGTAGAAGTACATAGGTCTGGTGATCAGATAATAAATAAAGGCATGGACAATTTTTTTTCCCAAATCTTCACAGTTATTCAACAGCATCATTCATAGAACTAAGGTTTTATTAAGATCATCGATTAAAAGGAGGCCTACGACACTTCCTTCTCACCAAAATCATCTTTTTTTTCTTAAACAAAACACATAATTTTGTCATACAGACTTTTAAAAAACAACCTAATACTTAGGAGATCAGATGTCCAGATAGGATAATCAATCACTATACTCAGTGCAGATAAACAGTTATGATCCAAGTATATATATATATATATTTCTGCTTTTACAACGGGGGGGAAAAAAGAGTCATTTTTAAACATGGCACTTGGCAACAAGGATCCAGGGAATCAACGAAGCAGTTTTAAGTTGCATGCAAAATGTAAGAAAGATTAAAGATCATTAAAAGAAGGAGAAGATAAGAGAAGCGGGTTCAGATAGAATTTTAGCTGCAAAATACAAATTAACCAGCAAAAAAACACACCACCTTCATCATCAACAACAAAAAATTATAACCTACAGCAGAAACATAAAAACGGTCCACAATTCTGTAAAGCAGCTTTGGGGAAAAAAAAACACACCCTAATATCCCAAAAGGCAAAAGTATCACATTGTTTTAGCACACGTTTGCACACAATATTCCAAAACCTAACACAACTTAAAAAAAAAAAACTCATTAAATTCAGTAGTTCTGCTCTATTTCTTGGCCAGGCTGATATGCCTCAGTCAACCATGATAATTACACGGATGGTTTACAACAAACAGCTGCACGACACTCTGATTTTAACACAAGACTGGAATTCTCGGATAGGGAAAAAAATCCCTTGAGCTGTAATATTCCAGCCAGATTGGGGTTTGCTAAGTGGTTTTGAATGATTAAGAAATTAAAGTTGGTCCATTTATTGAACAAAAACCATCCTAGGAATGTACAAATCTTGGCAAAGTGGAATTTTAGCTCGTCTAATACCTCTTAACTACATAAAAGAGGATTAGCTTTGTATATTCTTGCCTTATTTAAGGAATGCAAGTCCCACTCCTTTTCTCTGGTCTGCTCCAGCATCTAGTATTTTGCTTCCACTTATATCATCGTGGTTAGTTCTAACCCCAATTACACATAAAATCTGAAGGGCAATCCAAGGCAGAATTAACCAAGATCAGCTGACATTGCAATGAGGGGAAAATTATTTGCAGAGTTTGTAACAGTAAGCTGGCCTGCAATGCAAAACTGTTTTTTCCAAATGGTGAGGAATTAACAACAGTGCAAAATCCAACCTTAATTCAGCCTGGAAAAAAAAATTGGAACCAATTCGAAAATGGATGTAAGGTTTGTAAGAAAAGAATCACAGTTGGATAGTTTGAACATTTCACCTCTGCTTCCCTGAATGACAAATCAAATTAAAAACTTTACTATTGCCCGTGGCCAACCAAGTCATCAATAATTAACTGCAATATTGCTTCCTCGACCTATATGTTGAATAAATAAAACACAAATGCCCGTTTTCTGCAAAGCGGGTTGTTTTCTAGGTCTCTAGATGAACAAAGGTGGGGAAAAAAACCCCACCACTATGGTACTATCTACAAGAGAAGTGAACAGTAACAAAAAGAAAAATAAAGCAGAGAAAATCCATCCACATTTTTATAGAATAAGGGGGGGGAAATGCCTCAAGGTCACCTTCACCTTCAAAACTCTACAAGGAAATGGCGAGAACGGTCTATTTCAAGTACGGTAGTTTGTGCTCCTGTTTCATTTAAATAAAGGAGAATTTTATTTAGTCAAATCTGCACCAAGGCAGCAGGGGCAATATATACCTCTATATTCTTTTTTTTCAACTACAGCCTTATACAAAACAAAACGCTGTGTATATCAAATCTATTTATACATATACATATATATATTTACTAGTTCCCGCATCACCCCTATGGGAAGCTGATTTAAAGGACGGAGTTTATTTTAATGTTCTCTCAATTCCAAGCTGCCTTTTCTTTATTTGTAGACGTTTGATCATGGAAGAAAAGAGGTGGTTTTTTTTCCTTTCTGGAGGATCTTCATTTTGGAACGATTGGGAATCTTCGAAAAATGCTGGGGAAAAAACAAAGGATTTTTTTTCTGGAAGGAAGGAGACACTTGCCAACTTACCAGCTTTGAAAATAAGTCATTTTGATCAGAACAGATCTATATATATACCATTGAGTCTCATCCAGGCAAATTAATTGCCCACTTCCACAAGCACAAAAAAAGGGGGGAAATACAAGGATAGGGGATGCTAAGTATTCCAGCAGCTTCCAGTTTTCCCAGGAAATGACAGGCTGTGGAGCAACGTAACCAAAAAGAGTTAAGTGGTTGTTGAGGTTAGAAACACGTGTGGGGGAAAAAGTTAATTGTTTGAAATTGGCCGATGGTTTAATATTTTACGGGCACCATTTTACACCAAACGGGTCACTTGGGCAATTTTTTTCGTGGCCAAAACCAAATTAGCCACTACACTTTGTTAAAGGACCGAACACAATTGGGTCCTCCGTAGCATCTATTGTGGGGAAAAAAAGATTTGGGATAGATGAGCGAAGCACAGACCCTTCTAAAGTTGAGGATTTTATGGGATTTATTGCCACATTAATCCTGAGAAAGATTCCTGTATCCCACTTTTTTTTTTTTTTTTGTAAATCCTTTTTTAATCTGTCGCCGATCGTGGTTGAGTCAATCTGAAGTTGCTGGGCTTATTTCTGCCTTTCTCTCTTTTCAAGCAATGCGTAATTTCGATAGAAATGTAACTTCCACTCTGAAAGACCAACTTCTCTTCTGCTGTTATGCACCCAGGACGGTCCTCCGTTGCTAATTTTATCTGGCCGACACTCAAAGTTTTCTTCCTCAAGGTCTTTTGCTTAAGTTGTGCCAAGGAAGACGAACAAGAAAGCCAGAAGATTTTAACTGGAGAGATTTTGCAGAAGGGGCTGAACCATTTGTAGGAAGGTGAACTGTTTTTGTTTTGTGCGCGCGTGTGTGTTTGTGTGTAGGCAAAAGAAAGGGCCAAATTTCTAATGAAACGGACAGGAGGAAAAACAACAACAACACAGAAGCACTTTTGACGCTCGTGGCTGACATCCGAAGGACGCAACGTATCTTGCTTTCAAAATTCAGGGTGAACGATATATGGATCTGACCTCAAACGTGTTATTTTTCCTCTGCAATTATATGAAAAAGATGAAACGAGGCACAACATGAAATTATGACTGAAGGCAGGATGAGAAAAAGAAGGAAAGAAAAACGGATCCTCATAAACGCTGGTCGAATTCTTCGTGCTTCCTTACTTCTTTCTGAAGGTGAAGTTGGTGTCCAGTGTATAGAGAATTTTGTCGCTTGAAACGAACAACTTCACGGGCCTTCATCAAATCTCCCTCCCTCTTATTTTCTTTTCTTTTCTTTTCTTTTTTTTTTTTTTTACAAAAGATGTTGGAAAACAGCAGATAAAACCCTACTTATGGGAGAACATCTCTGAATGTACAGCTAATCTATCTTACAAGTTAATTAATGTTTTGTTCAGGGTGTAGACAGGTAAGCTACGCACGAAGACTTAACGGCCGGATGGCGCACCCTGCTTTTACCCCAAAGTCCGCCTCGTTGTGGACGAGACGTGGTGATTTCCCGGATCGCCTGTGTTGTGTTCCCGCGCGAAGCGTGACTTTCCCGTTAGTCGCCTCCTCGGTCCAGGTTCTCGATCACGCGAGACAGACGGATGTTCAGAAGCCTGATCTGGCTGTCAAGGTGATCAATCTTCTCCTCCAGGGTGCTGTGGCTGTTCCTCCGCCAGTAGAAGCTCACGGGACCAGTCATGAAGTAGACGGCGACCACGAAGCAGAGGGGGAGGACGGCGTGTTCGGGCTCGCTCTCGTATTTCTGAAGGATGTAGACGCAGGAAAGAGCGAAGAGGACGATCCGGATGATCCAGAAGAAACGGCCGCACAGGACGTGCAGGAGATAGAAGAAGAATCCCAAGAGCAGAGACACGAACCAATAAGCCAACAAGATGGCCCCGATCAGAAGAAGGGCCCGAGCGGGATTGTTGGCTAGGGCGGTGTGGCTGAAATAATGGGTCAAGTTGGATCCTGGGAAAAAATCAAAGCAGAAACCGTCAACGCTCGCTCCGCCGAGGTAGGAAAACAAGCATCGTCAATTGAAAAAAAACATTCATCGGATGTCTTCAAACTTGGCCCTTTTATGACTTGTGGACTTCAACTCCCAGAATTCCTCAAACCCACTCAATTAACTGTAAAATATCCATGTTAAATAACCTTCCTTTATAGCAAGGGACTCTTCACAAATTATTATTCTCCTTACTTGATCGAGGTGAAATGGGAGTTGCTCGACAGTGGGGTGGCTGGCACATAAATGTAATAATCCAATAAAAATAAATAAAATCAAAATAAGCTTGGGGAACAAGAGGACCACCCCAGCTAATGTTCTGCCCACCTACCATCAATTCCAAGGACATCTAGAAGATCTGTCCATATTCTCCAGAATGTATCTACAAGAACGTCCACTCCGTACACGAATCGCTCTGTCAGTCTGGAGAAAAACTGGAAAGGCAAAATATAAAGACTCTGTTCATCCTCTACAATTTTAAGTGTTTCTTAGGAAAGAAATCCAGTTTTTAGAATAGAATAGAATAGAACAGAGTAGAGTAGAGTAGAGTAGAGTAGAGTAGAACAGAGAATAGAATAGGAGAATCGAATAGAATAAATAATAGAATAGAGAATGGGAATAGAGAAGAATAGAATAGAATAGAATAAAGAATAGAATAGAATAAAGAATGGAATGGAATGGAATAGAATAGAATAAAGTATAGAATAAAGAATAGAATGGAATGGAATGGAATGGAATGGAATAGAATAGAATAGAATAGAATAGAATAGAATAGAATAGAACAATGAAAGAATAGAATGGAATGGAATGGAATAGAATAGAACAGAATAACAGAGTTGGAAGGGACCTTGGAGGTCTTCTAGTCCAACCCCCTACTCAGGCAGGAAACCCCATAGTACCATTTCAGACAAATGGTTGTCCAATCTCTTCTTAAAAACTTCCAGTTTTGGAGCATTCACAACTGCCTCTATGTCTTCTAAGTCAGGGTTTCCTGACTCGGCAACTTTAAGCCTTGTGAACTTCAATTCCCAGAATTCCTCAGCCAGCCAAGGATCTACCAATACTTGCCTCACCCACACTTGAAAGAGAAAGCGACAAAAAGACACAGCAGGAAGGTATTTATGAATCATTATCCTGGATTTTGAACCCCGTATCTGCACAGGGTGGCGTTCCTGTCATGTGCTCCCAAACGGCTGAGGAGCTGTGACGGGGAAAAAGCAGCAATGAACCAACTTCCAGGAAGCAAATATATATATATTTGGGAAAGAATTTTTGTCAATGAAGGTTAAGCTGAAAGAGATTCCTTGCATTCTTTGGTCTTCCTTTGGTTTTGGATGGTCTTCTCTTTCCAAAAGAAGGAGTCCACTCATGGAAAGTCTCGGGTGAAAGAGAGAACATGGACGGGCCCAGAAGGACATCCAGGAGAAGACAACCGGGCATTCCTTGCTACAATCATAACCACCGCCTTCTCCACCCTGACAAAGTTCCTCCCGCCAGAATTTTGTCCAAGCATCTCCTCATTACAATTACTGTGTAATATTATCAATTAATCTCCCCTCCTAACGAGTCCTCCTTGTTTTTCGCAGCCTTGAGCGACTCATTATGTGGCATCAAGTTGGTGCTGAGGTGGAAACCCTTGAGATCTATCTTCTCCTGGATGAACATCTCCCGTTTCTCCTAAACCTTCCCCATCATCACCATCAGGTCAGTTTCCAGTAGGCGCCTCAACTGGGCCAACCACGGCACCAAATATCTCCGGTTGTCACCCCCATGGCCACGTTCACTTTCATGACCATCCCCACCATCATCAGCTTAACTTTCCATTGGGCGTCAAAACTGGGCCAATCTGGATACTGAACATATTCGATTAGCATCACCACCACCACCATCACCATCATCACCACCATTATAACCATCACCCCCACCACCATAACTATCATCATTACCACCATAACCATCATCACCATTATAACCATCATCACCACCATTATAACCATCATCACCACCACCACCACAACCATCATCACCACCACCACCATAACCATCACCACCACCATCATCACCATCACCATCACCACCAAGACCATCAGGTCACCTTGTGGGTCCCCAATCGGGTCAACCAGGACCTCCAACCTCTCTGATCACCCTCATCACCATCACCACCATGACCATGTTCACTCATCAGAGGCCCCCATCATCATCGTATTAGTACCGCTTTATAAAATCTTAGTAAGGCACACCTGGAATCCTGCATCCAGTTTTGGTCACCACATTACAAAAAAAATTGTTGACAGTTTGGAAAAAATTCTGAAAAGAGCAACTAAGATGATCCAAGGCCTGGAGACTAAAACATACAAAGCACGGCTGCGGGACTTGGGTCTGGCTAGTCTAAAGAAAAGAAGAAACAGGGGAGACATGATAGCAGCATTCCAGTATTTGAGGGGCTGCCACAAAGAAGAGGGGGGTCAATTCTCCAAAGGACCTGAAGGCAGGACAAGAAGCAATGGATGGAAACTAATCAAGGAGAGAAGCAACCTGGAATTAAGGAGAAACTTCATGACAGTGAAGACAATTAACCAGTGGAACAGCCTGCCACCAGAAGTTGTAGGTGCTCCATCACTATCTTATCTTATCGACTGGACAACCACCTATCTGAAATGGTCTAGGGCAGGCTAGGGTCTCCTGCTTGAGCAGGGGGCTGGACTAGAAGACCTCCGAGGTCCCTTCCAGCTCTGTTCCCATTGATTGATCATCATCCCCCGGCATCACACCCTCCACCGCCATCAGGTCAACCAGGAACCCCCAACCTCTTTGCTCATCTTCACCCTCCCTACCAGATCACCTTTACCGCGCGCGGGCACCCAATTGGGCCAGCCAGGACCGCTCCAATCGCCCTCCTGGGCGCCCACGCCGAAGTCGGGGACCCCCTTCTGCACACACACACCCCGCCGGGGCCAAAGCCCCCAGACCCTCCTCTTCCCCGCTCCCTTCCCCTCCCCTGTTTGCCGGGACCCTCCGGGCGCCGCTCACCTTCTGCAGGGCGCGCACGTTCTCCTCGCCCAGGAGGCCGCTGGCGCCCTGGTAGACGCCGCTGGCCGCCCGCCGGAGGCTGTTCTGCTTGTCGGCGCCCCGGGACCCCCGCGCCCCCCGCGCCCCCGGCCCGGCGAGCAGCAGCAGCAGCAACAGCAGCGACAGCAGCGCGCCACGCGCCCCGTTCCGGCTCGCCATGGCACTCCTTGCTCGTCCGTGCGCTCCAGCCGGGCGCGCTCGGCTCGGCGGGCGGCTTTTCCCGCTCGCCCCGCCCCGCCTCGGCTCGGCAGCTCTGGCCCGGCCGGGCAGCGCTCTCTCGCGGCCGAGGAGGTTCCGGCGCAGGCTGGGCAGGGAAAGAAGAGGCGAGGCGCTTCTCTCTCGGCTGCGCGCGCTCTGCGCTCCTGGCGCGCCCGGATCCCTTCTTGGCGACCCCCGTGGGGTCCCGGGCCTGGGTCTGCTGGGGGGGGGGAGTTTGGGATTTTTAAAACAGGGGGTTCTGGGGAATGTTGGCAGGCCCTTCAAGAGGAAGGGAAAGAGGGAGAAAGGGAGGGAAAGATTTTAAAATAGGGTTGCCAGGTGTCCACTATTTGAGCGGACAGTCCACTTTTTTCACATTATGTTCACTATTTTTTTTTCACAAAATAGTGGACATTTTTTTTTATTCAAAAGCTTTATGATGAAATGGTACGTAATCTAAAGCTGTACAGTCTACTTTTTTTTACTACTTAACCCCCCCCCCCCGCTTGTCCGCTATTTTTTGGAAGCAGACCTGGCAACCCTAGGAAAGAAGGGCAGGAAAAGCAGAAGGGAGAGAAATGCCAGAGGACTGCAGGGATGGTCTCCGAGGTTCGTTTCAAAAGGGAGTTGAGAATGTATTGTCAATGTTGTCTGATGGTCGCGCCGGTCCCTCATTTCGTCCAGGTTTATCTTAATTTTCAAATTTGATTCTCCTTCCTTCCTTCCTCCCTGTATTCATTCCTTTCTTCCTCCCTCCCTATATTCCTTCTTTCCTTCTTCCTACGTCTTCCTTCCTTCCTTCCTTCCTTCCTTCCTTCTTCAAACCATCCTAGGCAAACCAACTAGGTTAATGATCATTCTTCTTCTTCTTGTGCCATATCCGTTATCGGACGGGCGATCATGTTGGCGATCCTGTTTTTATCAGCAGCCGCACGAAAAAGTGCTGCTGAGTTTTGTCCAAACAAGTCCCTTAGATTTTGAAGCCACGATGTTCTTCTTCTGCCTGGACCTCGTTGGCCTTCAATCTTTCCCTGGAGGATTAAATGGAGTATGCCGTATTTTTCTGGGTGGCGCATCACATGTCCGAAATATTCTAATTTCATCTAGACTTTTAACCACCATCAGAAAGGGGGAAAGAATTCTGCTGGAGATTCAGCTTAACCTGGCACTGGATGAACCATCATCGGTGCAAAGATGAAGGTTGAGTTTGCCCAGCCCCTTAAACCAGCATTTCTCAATCGTGGCAACTTGAAGATGGGTGGATTTTGATTCCCAGAATTCCTCCCATCTTCAAGCTGCCAAAGTCGAGAAACCCTGGCTTAGATCCATAATTGTGTGTAATTGTGTAATTGCCCAACGGAGTCAGGAGGTGACCCAAGACTACTCAGCACCTTTGGTGGCCTACTCAACTCTTCAGTTGAGTCAACATTGCATTGTCTCTGCCCCACCTCGGCCCACCTTCTAAATCCACCTATCCAAGTTTCTTTTTTTAGCAACTTTCAAAATATCAAGGCTACTCCGGGTCAAAGGGAATCCTGACCTAATCAGGCTTGTCTGTCTGCTCACCCCATCCTGAGATTCCTGGCCAAATTGTTGCAACAACACCTTGTTGATTGAAGATAACTCTTTTTTTTTTTTAGCCCCAGAGCCGGCCAAGCGTTTCTTAAATTCTGTTGCCCAAGGCTGGGTGTGCAAATCAAAACCAATCAGTTTCCCAGATCTTCCTCCCTCTGGCTGGGTGTGCAAATCAACATAAACAGTTTCCCAAATCCTCCTTCTTGTGGCTGGGTGTGCAAACCAAAATGACTTCAGTTCTACAAAACCCCCTCTTCCCCCTGGCTGGGTGTGCAAATCAAAACCAATCAGTTTCCCAGATCTTCCTCCCTGTGGCTGGGTGTGCAAATCAACATAAACAGTTTCCCAAATCCTCCTCCTTGTGGCTGGGTGTGCAAACCAAAATGACTTCAGTTCTACAAAACCCCCTCTTCCCCTGGCTGGGTGTGCAAATCAAAACCAATCAGTTTCCCAGATCTTCCTCCCTGTGGCTGGGTGTGCAAATCAAGGTAAATCAGTTCCCCAAATCCTCCTCCTTGTGGCTGGGTGTGCAAACCAAAATGACTTCAGTTCTACAAAAAACCCCTTTCCCCCTGGCTGGGTGTGCAAATCAAAATCAACCAGCTCCCTAAATCCTCCTCTCCCTCCCCCCCAGTTGAGTGTGCAAATCAAAACCAATCAATGATCCTTTTTGCCTTACCATTAAAGCTGAGCTCTGATTGGGCACGCCTCTCCCCAGCTCTGGCACCCATTGGCCTTCCTGGAGCGAGTGCCAGCAAACCTCTCCTCCTGATTGGTTGAGGAGGGCCACGGCCTGCTCCAGCCCTCCCATCGTTTGCTGGGTGGCCCATGCTGGAGACTCTGGGCTGATGTGGGGCCAGACCCAGATCCACCAATGGGGGGGCTGCATTCTGGATGTGGTGCGCTGATGCCATGGATCCATCCGCCCTGCCGCCGAAGGTGCCAGCTGCTGGGGGTTGGGACCCCGATTGGGGGATTTTCGATCCTTATCTGGGTTGCTACACATTTTTTTTTTTTTTTTTCTGTGCATCACATTATATTGCATGTACGAAATAGCTAAAACTAACTGAGTTTAAAACTGATATATCCTTTCTTTTAAATATAATCCAGGGGTTATTATTATTATTTGTTTTGCACAGAATTTGAGTTTATTTGGGTGGGATGCATTTTTTTAAAAAACATATCAAATGCTACGGCAGGTTTTTATTTTTAAAATTGATTTATTACCTTTGTTGGCTGCCCCAGGTGACTCCTAGGAATAAAAGATAAACCTGAACAAATGTAGGAAGAAATCAATTAAGAAAAAAAATATATTTTATTTTCAAATCTAAGTTTTTTTCCCTCCTGAACATTTCATGACAGTGAATGTATTAATAGGTTAACATAATTTGATTTAAAACTGATTAATTGGGGGGTTTTTTGGTAATTGAGGGGTTTTTTTTGCAAAGAATCTGAGTTTGAGTGTGATGTTTTTTCTTTACACACACATACACACACACACACACACACATACATACATACATACATACAGGTAGTCCTTGACTTATAACCACAACTGAGGCCAGAATTTCCATTGCTAAGCAAGACAGTTGCTAAATGAATTTTTCCCATTGAACGACCTTTCTTGCCACGGTTGTTAAGTGAATCACTGCAGTTGTTAAGTTAGTAACACGGTTGTTAAATGAATCCAGCTTCCCCATTGACTTTACTTGTCAGAAGGTCGCAAAAGGGGATCACGTGACCCTCCCGGGACACAGCAACCATCATAAATATGAGTCAGTTGCCAAGCGTCTGAACTTTGATCACGTGACCCAAGGGAAGGCTGCAACGGACGTAAGTGTGAAAAACGGTCTTAAGTTCCTTTTTTCAATGCCGTTGCAACTATGAACGGTCACTAAATGAACTGTTGCAAATCAAAGACTACCAAAACCAGGGGTAGGCAACCTTGGCTCTTTTGTGACTCGTGGACTTCAACTCCCAGAATTCCTGAGCCAGCCATGCTGAGGGGAAAGGGAGAGGTTTCCAAGCTGAGCCATGCTGGCTCAGGAATTCTGGGAGTTGAAGTCCACGAGTCATGAGGGGGCCATAGTTCCCCCATGCTTGCTCAGGAATTCTGGGATTGAAGTCCACGAGTCATGAAGGGGCCATAGTTTCCCCCATGCTGGCTCAGGAATTCTGGGAGTTGAAGTCCACCAGTCATGAGGGGGCCAAGGTTGCCTATCCCTGACCTATATAATTTTTATGGTAGAATTTTCATGAATAAAAGATAAACCTGAACAAATATACAACTATACAAAAAAGAAGTTAAGAAAAACAGATACGTGCAAGATAGAATACAGATACTGTAGAAAAAAGATATTTAAAGAAACAATATCTGATCTCCTTTACAACAGTTACAAACGAACTTTGTCTCTCTTTGCAGGTTGCATTACATCATTCCCTTCTTCCCATATTCAATATCTGTTGTTAGTTGCGAAGTCGTGTCCGACCCATCGCGACCCCATGGACAACGTTCCTCCAGGCCTTCCTGTCCTCTACCATCTTCTGGAGTCCCTTTAAGCTCATGCCTCCTGCTTCAGGGACTCCATCCAGCCACCTCCTTCTCTGTCGTCCCCTTCTTCTCTTGCCCTCCATCTTTCCCAGCATCAGGCTCTTCTCCAGGGAGTCCTTCCTTCTCATTAGGTGGCCAAAGGACTTGAGTGTCAACTTCAGGATCTGGCCTTCTAAAGAGCAGTCGGGGTTGATCTCCTCCAGGACTGACCGGTTGGATCGCCTTGCAGTCCAGGGGACTCGCAGGAGTCTTCTCCAGCACCAGAGTTCAAAGGCCTCCATTCTTTGGCACTCAGCCTTTCTTATAATCCATCTTTCACAGCAATACATTGCCACTGGGAAAACCATGGCCTTGACTAGACACACTTATGTTGGCAGGGTGATGTCTCTGCTTTTTATGTACGCTGTCTAGATTTGCCATAGCTTTCCTCCCCAGGAGCAAGCGTCTTTTAATTTCTTGGCTGCAGTCCCCATCTGCGGTGATCTTGGAGCCCAGGAAGATAAAATCTGTCACTACCTCCATTTCTTCCCCATCTATTTGCCAGGAATTGAGAGGGCCGGATGCCACGATCTTGGTTTTCTTAATGTTGAGTTTCAAGCCAACTTTTGCACTCTCCTTCTTCACCCGCATCAAAAGGCTCTTTAGTTCCTCTTCAGTACGTGTTAATCATCAACTCATTTCCCCCCCATTGACAGCAGCAAAAAGACCCCCCCCCCAAAAAAGTTATCCTAACCCTCACTGTCTTTTGTAAAAATCCTTGCAGGTAGTTCTTGACTTAGGACCACAATGGAGCGTTGCTAAGCGAGACAGTTGTTAAGTTTTGCCCCATTTAACGACCTTGCTTGCGACAGTTGTTAAGGGAATCACTGCAGTTGTTAAATCGGTCACCCGGTTGTTAACTGCTTTCCCCCATTGAGTTGGCTTGTCCGAAGGTCGCAAAAGGGAGTCACGTGACCCCAGGACGTTGCGACCGTCGTAAATATGAGTCAGTTGCCCTGCGTCTGAATTCTGATCACGTGGGATCTGCAATGGTCGTGAGTGTGAAAAACGGTCATAAATCCCTTTTTTCGTCGCCGTTGTAACTTTGAACGGTCACTATACAAAGCGTTGTAAGTCGAGGACTACCTGTATTTTAAATTTCAGAGTAATTTGGTCTCCTGGGAGCTTCCTGCGCGACCCGATTCCGATTCCACCTCTATTCCTCAACCCGGCCTACCTTGCAGAGTTGTTGTAAATACAGTGTTTCTCAACCTTGACCATTTTAAGGCATGTGGACTTCAACTCCCAGAATTCCACAGCCAGCAATGCTGGCTGTGGAATTCTGGGAGTTGAAGTCCACATGCCTTAAAATGGTCAAGGTTGAGAAACACTGTATAATGTAAAAAAAACAACCACGACCTGCAATTAGAGGAAACTCAGAAAGGAAGCCACACATTCATAAAACCGAGTTGCGTGGATTCCCACGGGCGTCAACCTCCTTGGCAAGTTGCACTTGGCGGGTTTTATGGTGTGTGTGTGTGGGGGGGAATTTTGCACGCCCGTGTTCACGCTGACTCCCGTTGCAAAAATCGGCTTTTTTGGACCCGCGCACTCTTTTTTGTTGTTGTTTGGTTTTGCTCCGCCCTCTGGCGGAAGTTCACCCGGGCGGCGCGGAGAGGTGACGCGTCCTATAAAAGGCGCCGGCAGGAGGCGGAGCTCCGCAGTCCTGCTCGGACCGGCGAGGTGGTCGCTCTTAGTACCGAAGCGCAGGGCAGCGGAGGGCGAAGCCGGGCTGTGCCCAAGCTTGACGATGTCTGGGGAGCTGGAGATCATGGAAGCGCAGCGGCTGTGGGAGCCGGATTCCAAGCGCAACACCAGCATGGACCGCTTCAGGGCGGCGGTCACGGCGGCTTACGGCATCCGCCTGGGTGAGTCCCTTGCGGGGAAGCCGGGCAGAAAAGCCCCGCCTGGGATTAGGCATGTGTGGATGTTTGATGGTGTGAAAAGTCTCGTCATCACAGGATGTCAGCTATTGCAAGTCAAGCTGCCTTTTGCAATTGACGAATAGAGATTGTGTCAATGCCCAATGTCGTTCACGTGTTTCTGAGGTCTCTGTCCATCTAGGGATCTCGGAGTCAACTGGTAGACAAATGAAGCTTAGGAATAGGAATAGGAATAGAATAGAATAGAATCTGGAAGGGACCTTGGGGGTCTTCTAGTCCAGCCCCCTGCTCAATCAGGAGAATCTCTACCATCTCAGACAAGTGACTATCCAGTCTCTTCTTAAAAACCTCCACTGATGGAGCCTCGCCCACGATTTCTGGTGGCAAGCTGTTCCACTGGTTGATTGTCCTCACTGTCAGGAAGTTTCTCCTTAATTCCAGGATGCTTCTCTCCTTGATGAGTTTCCATCCGTTGCCCTTCCTTCCTTCCTTCCTTCCTTCCTTCCTTCCTTCCTTCCTTCCTTCCTTCCTTCCTTCCTTCCTTCCTTCCTTCCTTCCCTTCCCTTCCCTTCCCTTCCCTTCCCTTCCCTTCCCTCTCTCTCTCTCCCTCCCTCCCTCCCTCCCTCAATGATTTCTGGAGGCAAGCTGTTCCACTGGTTAATTGTCCTCACTGTCAGGAAGCTTCTCCTTAATTCCAGGTCCCCTTCCCCGTTGCACCCCAGTTCCCTCCCAGGAGGCAGAACCGCCTCTCCTCTTGGGATTCCCCCCTCCACGCACACACAACGGCCCTGCAAGGTAGGCTGCGTGCCTTTGCAATGGGCAAGATGCGCTGCCTGGGTCGGCAACCTGGCGCCCTCCGCAGGTTGGAGGCCCGCCGTCCTTATGCTGGGCTGATGGGGACGGGGGCTTGTGGGGTCTGGGCACCCTGGCTTGGCAGCGGAGGGAAAGATGGATTGCCCTAAGAGGGCGGTGATTTGATCTTTATTTTTTTGATGCATTTGGGAGGTAGGCAGCCGTGAATCGTGATGAGTGGAGCCTCCAGAGGGGGATGGAGTCTACCTTGCAGCAGCAGACGCCGGCGGGGAAGTTCAGATTCCTCCAATGGGGCTTCAGTTGTGCTAACCTACTTGGCACAACCGGGCGTGGGGGGTCTAGCTTGCGAATGAACCCGTTGCTGCCCCATAAGTTGGAGCGGGTCCAAATTCTCCCACACACACACACACATTTCATCTCCCTCCTCCAGCATGTCCAACAGAACCTCTAAATTTACCTGTCAGGCATGTTTGCATGTGCCCAGCCATTCTGCATCCCACCCACCTATTTTATCCTTCCCGAGGCCCGTAGCTTCTCACGACAACGTCTTCAGCCCGGCTGATGCAAGATCACAGCCTTTGTGCAATCACAGGAGCAGTCGGGGAACACACCAGACCCATCCTGACGTAATTTGCAAGCCGGGAGGGTTACCTGAGCGAGGGTCTTCAGGTGTGCTTGCCAGCCGAGAGGGTCCCTTAAGACTTTATAACTCCCAACGAAGGAGAATATTATGGTAGCTGGGGGTTGAAATGAGATGGGGGTCCCTGGTGCTCTCTGAACTTGCTTGTTTTCTTGCAGATGTTTCATTACACAAGCCAGGTAACGGCATCAGTGATAATAAGCTAGTAAACTTACTAGCGCTGCTGATGTTACCTTAGCTGGGTAATGAAATGCCTGCAAGAAAACCAGCAAGCTCAGAGAACACCCAGGACCCCATAGTCCTTCCTTCCTCCCCTCCCTAAATTCCCCTCCCTTCTAGCACTGATGAAGTTCCCTAGTTGGGTAATGAAACGTCTGCAAAAAAACAAGCAAGCTCAGAGAGCATCCAGGACCCCATAGTCAGTCCGTCTTTCTTTCTTTCTTTCTTTCTTTCTTTCTTTCTTTCTTTCTTTCTTTCTTTCTTTCTTTCTTTCTTCCTTCCTTCCTTCCTTCCTTCCTTCCTTCCTTTCTTTCTTCCTTTCTTTCTCTCTCTCTCTCTCTCTCTCTCTCTCTCTCTCTCTCTCCCTCCTTCCCTCCCTCCCTCCCTCTCCATAAATTCCATTTTCTTCTAGCACTGATGATGTTCCCTAGTTTGAGTAATGAAACGTCTGCAAGAAAACAAGCAAGCTCAGAGAGCACCAAGGACCCCAGAGTCAGTCTGTCTTTCCTTCCTTCCTTCCTTCCTTCCTTCCTTCCTTCCTTCCTTCCTTCCTTCCTTCCTTCCTTCCTTCCTTCCTTCCTTCCTTCCTTCCTTCCTTCCTTCCCCCCCTCCCTAAATTCCACTCCCTTCTACCACTGATGATGTTCCCTAGTTGGGTAATGAAACATCTGCAAGAAAATAAGAAAGCTCAGAGAGCACCCAGGAACCATAGTCCTTCCTCCCTCCCTTCCTTCCCCCCTCCCTAAATTCCACTCCCTTCTACCACTGATGATGTTCCCTAGTTGGGTAATGAAACGTCTGCAAGAAAACAAGAAAGCTCAGAGAGCACCCAGGAACCATAGTCCTTCCTCCCTCCCTCCCTCCCTCCCAACACTGATGATGTTACCTAGTTAGAACCCCGTAGTCCTTCCTTCCTCCCCTCCCCTCCCTAAATTCCCCTCCCTTCTAGCACTGATGATGTCACCTAGTTAGACACAAGCAAGCCCAGAGAGCACCCAGGACCCCTCGCTTTATAACTTGTAAGCTGTCCAGAGTCGCCTCGTAAGGGAGATGGGATAGCATAAACATTCAATAAATAATAATATAAACAAGACTTTGAGGCCTCTTACTGTTGGGTGACGCAGTCTGAACACCCCAGTTTTTGCCTTGCAACCAATAGGACCCCAGAATGCAACCATCATGTTGTATTTCAGTGGCCCCTGACCCACGTGGATTTGTGTCATCTTCCAGGGAAAATCTGTTTTTGTTTTTCTTTTAATTCCAAGAAACTGGGTCTCTAGTCCTCAAGGCTTGTACAAATCAACATTTTGCATTGGGCTTGGGGGTGTCTTTCCGCAATGTAGTTTGGATCAGCTGCCCGGTTTCTGGTCCCTTTGCCTTCCTTTTCTTCTCTGCAGGGTGAAATTCGTAGGAAAGAGAAGATTGTGTGATTGCGGTTGTGTGTTCGGGTTCCCCAAAGAGAGCAGATTGTGTGTTTTACGTGTGCCAAGGCCTGGTGCTTTTTTTTAGGAACGGAGCCAGTATGCTGTAAAAGGAACATTTTACAGGATTTCTTGTTTCTTACAATTTTAGGCCGCTGAATTTTTTCTATTGAGCAAAAATAGAACACCTGCATAGGGGATTCTGTACTACAGTTCCCATGTGGAGAGGCACTAGGGACTTGTAGTTTGGTCTCCTGGTCATTTGGGACACTACAGAGCCCCCCCCCCCCCCATTTGTGGCCTAACGTGTCAGCGGGGTGTGATACACAACAACACCTTGCCATGCTGCATGGATTTAATTTGGGCCTTCTGTTTATCCATTAGAAGAATAACTGGGCAAATGTTTTCTCTTTATCCTTGATGTGAAAAAATAAATGCAAAATGTCTTAGATGGGGAAGGAGAATTAAGCAAGGCCTCTGTGCTTGTGTGAGTGTGTGTGTGTGTGTAATTTTAAAAGAGATTGTGTTAGCTTTAAAAAATAAAATGTGCCAAAGCATCCAACTGAAGCTGTTGTTCTCCTTTTTGCATTTTTTTCCCCTCGGCTATTGCTCTAGTTTACAAGTGTGATCGTGGGTGTGGGTTTCCGAAATAAATAGATAGGCTGGAAAATAAAACCTGGTTTAATTAGGCAGCATCCCTGCGTTTAGCTTCCAAGCAACTTCTTTTGCGGGCTTCAATGAAAAACAATATGGCTGGAGAAAACTAATCACTGGATCTGGAAAAATAAATACGGATTTGGTAAAACCTGATAATACAGGTAGTTCTCAGCTTACAACTTCCATTTAGGGATGGTATGAAATTACAACGGCATTAAAAAAAGGTGACTTGTGAGCTTTTTCACACTTACAATTTTTGCAGCATTCCCGGGGATCACATAATAACAATTCAGATGCTTGAAATGTTTATGACTTATATTTATGATGGTTGAACGGTCCAGGGATCCTGTGATCGCTTTTTGCCACCTGACAAGCAAAGTCGATGAGAAAGCCAGATTTACTTAACCGTGTTGTTGACTTAATAACTGCAGTGGTTGACTTAACCGTGGGGAGAAAAGTGTGTGTGTGGGGGAAAACTCACACAACCGCTGCCTTATGTCGGGCTCAGCTGTCGTAAGTCGAGAATTACCTGTACACTTTAGGGGGAGAGGAATAGAATTGGGGTGTCCTGCACTATCCTCGGCATTGCGCGATAATTAGAGCTTCATTTTTCTAAATAATCCCCCCCTCCTTTTTTTTTTCCTTGCCAGTTATGCATCTCTTCCTTGTTATTCCCCCAGGGAAATAAAAAGGAGAGCCAAATAACCAGAAGCAATCTCTGTTTGCTCTAGTAATTTCAGAGACCGGGTTTGTTTGCCTGGGGGGGCCCCATCAGAAGCCAAGATGGAGAGACATCACCTGACCCGTTAAATCAGGAAGAGAGAAATAGCACCAAGGTGTTTTTTTGGGGGGGGGCTTCCCCAGAAAATTTTTATTTTATCTGATTTTATTAGCTTTGCATTAAAGGTGCTCGTGAAGCTGTTTGTTGCAGACAAGCAAATAAAGCAACCAATATATATATATATATATATATATATATTTCCAGGCTTGGCAGGTGGCTTTTTTTTTTTTTTTTTTGCATCCGATGCTGCGCATGAGCAAAATGAGAGTAAAACCTGTAAAAGGGTTTGATTTGAACAGCTTAATTTGCTTTGCTGGAGAAAAAGGAGTAAAGATGGCAGAGTCCTAAACGGAGACGTTGAAAGGACTCTGCCGGTTTCGGCAACTGACTGACCGGTCTTTTTTTTTTAGGGAAAAACATTATGGAGAGGTTTTAATAACGGCTGTTTTTGTTTTTGCTTCCAGCCAACTACAGCGAGTTGTATCAGTGGTCTGTACAGCATTATTCGGATTTCTGGGCAGAGTTTTGGAAATTCAGCGGGATCGCCTATTCTCGGCTTTATGATGAGGTAAGCTGACAGGATAACAGAGTTGGAAGGGACCTTGGAGGTCTTCTAGTCCAACCCCCTGCTTAGGCAGGAAACCTTCTACCATTTCAGACAAACGGTTGTCCAATCTCTTCTTGAAACTTCCAGTGTTGGAGCATTCACAGCTTCTGAAGGCAAGTCGTTCCACTGAATAATTATTCTTACTTTTAGGAAGTTTCTCCTAACGGGACAATTAACCAGTGGAACAGCTTGAAATTTCCCCTTAGTTCCAGGTTGCTTCTCTCCTTGATTAGTTTCCATCCGTTGCTTCTTGTCCTGCCTTCAGGTGCTTTGGAGAACAGGTTGAATCAGAATAGAGCTGGAAGGGACCTTGGAGGTCTTCTAGTCCAACCCCTTGCTCAAGCAGGAGACACTATACCATTTCAGGCAAGTGACTGTCCAGGTTCTTCTTAAAAACCTCCAGTGATGGAGCACCCACAACGTCTGAAGGCAACTTCTGTTCCACAGGTTGATTGTCAGGAGGTTTCTCCTAACAGTGAGGACAATTAACCAGTGGAACAGCTTGATTCCTTCTTCTTTGTGGCAACCCCTTAGATCAGGGGTAGGCCATCTTGGCTCTTTTATGACTCGTGGACTTCAACTCCCAGAATTCCTGAGCCAGCCATGCTGAGGGGAAAGGGAGAGGTTTCCAAGCTGAGCCATGCTGGCTCAGGAATTCTGGGAGTTGAAGTCCACGAGTCATGAAGGGGTCAAGGTTTCCACCATGCTGGCTCAGGAATTCTGGGAGTTGAAGTCCACGAGTCATAAAAGAGCCAAGGTTGCCTACCCCTGCCTTAGATATTGGGACACAGCTGTTTTTGGTGGACTGATTATCCAGGTTAATTGGGGACTGAGTCACGCAGAAGATGGTGGATGTCACCACCCACCTCATTATCGGTGGTCTTCTCCAGCTTCGGTGAGCAGAGGTTGACGGGGTCGTTCCCATCATTGGGCAAGTCAATAATCTCCACTTTCCTGGCCTTTTCAACCATATGATGGCCCGCTGCCTGGAGGCCGTAAGGGTCTGGATGGGGAGGAACAGACTCAGGCTCAACCCTTCCAAGACCGAGTGGCTGTGGCTGCCGGCGCCTCAGCATAGTCAGCTGACTCCATCGCTGAACCCTTCCAAGACCGAGTGGCTGTGGCTGCCGGCGCCTCGGCATAGTCAGCTGACTCCATCGCTGACTATAGGGGGCGAAATTTTGGCCCCCTCGGAGAGGGTGCGCAATCTGGGGGTCCTCCTGGATTCACGGCTGACACTGGAAGACCAGTTGTCGGCCGTGACCAGGGGGGCGTTTTATCAGGTACGCCTGATAC